TGTGCTCTTGGATGGAAGTTCTTTCTTTTTTACGGTACAAGAGGGCACTCGGGGGCAGGCTGTGGCTGTAGAAAGAATTTCCTTTTACATTATTCAAGTATAGTCTGAATCTTTTGCTCTTGGTTGCTTCAATTTAATATTTTGGAAACATGGAGCTTTTCTTAAGCAAAGCATGCTCATAGGGGCAAAGTTTCTGTAATGCAGCTGGAGTCAGACCCCAAAGCTCTCTAAAAACAACCCACAAAACGCTGTGTAGCTTGCTCTTTTAAAAATCACAGCACTTTGCACCTCAAATATTTCAACCTGTACCTCCAGCCAGCTGTTTTTTTCAAAGGCGCAACATGCACAGATTGTTTTTTCTTCCGCTGAGCCAAAGAGATGAGTGCATTTATCCATTATCTATAAATCAGGACCGACTGCCAATCCTTGCCACAATGCACCTATTGTCTGTGCAGAATTCTCAAGAGGAGCTGAGCCAACTATACCGACCCAACTTGGCAGAACCAGAGTCAGCCTGTGACATTTAACTGTGGAAACTTGCAGTGGGTGTTGGCCTCACCAGTGTGGAGACTCACTGACTGTCGATTATTGCAAAACAGATGTTCTAACTAGAGGGATGGATCGAGCTGTACACCCAGTTTTTACTCCAAGACAGTGAGCAGACGCGGTTGCTTACGTCCGAAGTTAAATACACACTGTGATTTATTTTGTGAAAATGTGGTTCTGCCTTGAACTGGACGGCCGCTTGTGTTTAATGTAACTTGTCATATTTGTTTAGACAAAGGCAAAGATCGAGCATTTCTGCCTGGATGTAGTTAGGGGTTTGGGTCTCTGGAACTTGGGGAGATAATGCTTTCCTCTGGAGACGGCATCTTACAGAATCAACATTTTGTAGTCTGATCATTCCCCCTCATGCAAATCAAAAACAAAAAAATTTTCCAGGTTAAAAGCAAAGGAAATCCAGCCAGCTGTAAAGACAAGACCCCCAGTGGACGTACAGGATGCTGATCAGAGGAGGCAGGAAAGTACCACTGACGCATGCAGGGCCGGAGATGTCAGCATGGCTCAGGAAGGCTGAGGGTACTTGGCTCACTTCTGGTTTCCCACATATCTCTGCAATGGGAAATCCCTCAGACTTCCTTTTATCTATTTTTAGTTTAATGAGATCTAGAATAGGGTGGAATAAATTGAATAGAAAATACTCTATTGTCTTCTCTATTGTTTGCACACAAACAATAGTCGGCAGAAAGCTATCTTTGAGTTGTGTGTGAACACGGGGCAGCACAGCATAAAACCACAGAACAATTAAAACATTTAAAAACATAGTGCTGCTTCATTAAAGGAGGGATAAGGTTTTAATGATGAATATTAAAGGGGTGATCTACTTAGGTCCATTACCTGACTGGATAAAACACTTGATTCTGATTGGTCAAAACCCCTTAACAACAGCGCTTGAGTCTCAGTGGTAAAAGAAAGCCAGAAACAACCTGATCACAATACATCAAATCAACCCATATTTTTACCCGATTCACACCAAACGGAATATTTCCACCGAAGGTACACAAAGCAGCCCTCCTGCCTTGTTCACCCTGTCAAGATTCTAATTTGCATAACCACCTGCTCACCATGCAATATCCCTAATGCGTGACAAAGTATACTTAGACTTTATCCCCACCCCCATTGCAGTCCTACCTGCATCACTCTTATGTCCTTGTCTAACTCCCCTCTCTTTCTTTGATCTATGTTTTATCTCCCCTCTTCTTCTTTTTCATCTTCTTCTTTTCTGCAAAGAGGGCCAACATTGCTGCTTTTCTTCCCCTATTCTGCACAAAATCCTGGTTAGCTGTAAACCAAACCTCAGATACCATAAACTGGCAGTAAGGAGAAAAGTGCTGGCAAATATAGATCTGTGGAATTTAACCACTGACAGTGGCATTCAAACAGGAAACTAAATCCTCCACAGCCAAAACTTTAATGGGTAATTACAATGAGGCAGCTTTTATAGGCCAAAGTTACAAGCAACTGTGTAAAAGGCAGCAACTGAGGCTGTTTGAGAAGTGTCTCAGGCTTCAACATGCTCCCAAAGGATGTGTTGTTTTTTATTCTCACAAAATCACACCCTCGATGTTATTATGATCAAAATGTCGTAAACCATTCCATCCTCTTGCTGACATTTCAGTGTTTTCAACTTTCCTCTCACTCCTCCCTTCTCTCTGTCTGCTGCTGCTGCCCTGCCCAGTGCAGAAGGTCAAGTTTACTGTCACTTTTTCCCCCCTTGAAGGATTCGTATTTGTCATCCCAGTTGGACTACGGTGGTATGTGAAAGTGAGGAGAAACAGATCCCCTTCTGGATGTATGGTCGGCTATAAAATGGTTGCGTAAGGTTGAAGTATCTGTGGATTTCAGCCAAATACCCCATCAAGCAGCAGTTTCTCGTGTTTAACACGCTTCAGTCAGGTGCAATGATCCGTTATTGCACGACTCATACAACGTTTAACATGATGAAATACATCCAGGAGCATGTTCACATGCAAGCCCACGCAAAGTAAAAATTATACACTGCTCTGTGCACATGCATGCTCAGCTTTTTACTACTTTCACATACACCAGTGCAAAGTCGTTCCAGGTGGGGGTGTACTGTGTGCATGAAACTGATTTACAGCATGCTAACTGAAAAGAAGAAGAGAACTTCCATCTGCAGTGACATCCAAAATGTTGATGACCCTGAGCTCCGGAGGCCAAAAATGTGCATGTGAGGACTTGTTTGGCACTGGGGGGAGGTACACAATAACCACAGTGAAATTAATGTTGCATGTCCGTTTTGCAGTAGCAGCAGGGTGTAAATGGATCAAGATGAAGCTGGAAAGTTGGCTTCCAAAAGGTTTGGAGTGCCATTGTGGCAACGGGTCATAAAGTTAAAAGTTTCAGAAGCCAGACACAGCCTTTACATGCCATGAATTTTCCAGTCTTTACTGTCATTATGTGGAAAATCCAACACAAAAAGGACTCATGGAAAATTATGTGCAAGTACCTGTTAAATATTTGCATATACAGTAAATTATAGGTCAGACAGAACTGCCATAATGCTAACAAATCACTGTAGTACAGTCACTTCAATGGCAGTGTTTGGTTACTAGGTGTGTATAGGAAGGGTGTGTTTATTATCAATGTCTCACTGGAACAATACAAGCACTTGGACACTGAAGAATCCAGACCTTTGAATTCCTCCATCCGCTCACATCCAATCATCCCCTCCTACCCGCTTTGTCTCATTTTTGTTTGTCTCCCACACAAACAATCTTCTCTTTCTGCAAAACAGTAGGCTCATTTCACTTTCTGTGGGTCAGTCTCGCTTTATTTTGAAAAGTCTAAGTGGTTGACCTCAGAAAACAGCCTACAAGTAAAGCTGTAAACCTTTTTTCCACTCTAGGAATACATGTGCTCTGTGTAATTTCAAAGATGCACTCCCCGTGGTTTGACTGCTGCAAGTATTTGTGGTTTCTCTCTTGGTGAACTAGCGTTTCCTAAATCTCCTGGATAGCTGGAATTCTTGGTTGTCCCCACCATGACAAAAATTCAGAAAATAAGTTAAATCCAAGTGTAAACAATACTGTGCTTGCTCAAAGACTTACTTGAAAGGCACAAAAGGCAAGAAAGCTTATGATCCAGTGTCAGAGAAACATACTTATCATTTCCCAAGAAACTATCATGGCAAAGTTAGATTTTCAAGCTCCTGTGAGGAGTTTTCTGAAGTCTATTAACTAGACTGAACTTCACATTGATACCTTTTCATGATATCCAAAAGCAAATGGAGCCATCAGCCACATAATTGATGACTTTTACATTGTTTTTTTTTAATGCCTGAGACTGGTGCGAGGGGGAAAGTGTTTGCCAAAGCTGTAGAAACTGTCCTGGTTTAACAATTTTGACATAAAATATTTACAATTAGTGATATATTTGACTGAGTCAAATACACTGTTTAAGCATGTACAGGATAAAATAAGTAGAGACTTCTCTGTCCACAGGGGGCGCCAAAATTGACACAAACTGAAAGTTACTCACAGGAGCTTTAAATTAGAAATACAAAGACTGTCTGATAAACTCCCTCAAAATAACCCAAGTATTTACGGACCCTGCTAATCTCAGGTAAATACTGTCCCACATATATTCTCAGTATCCTATCCTCAGACCCCCATCCCCCACCATATACTGTAGTCTGTCACTCATTGCAAAGACTAATTTAAACAGGGTTTTTCTGTCTCCATTTATATCCCAACTAACAAGGTAACATGAAGACATAAAGAGACCGTGGCTCAGGTCCAGGCTGTTTTCGCCTGGGTGGTGAAAACAAACCCATTTACTATTCTGAGTTTCTAGGGAGACTGGACGAAGAAGGAGGAGTGGGGTACACAAGTCAACATGGGTGTCAAGTTAGAAAGAAGAAATTCAACGGAAGTTTAATTGAATTTTATTTTCAGAGTAAAAGCACACTTTTCTAGCAAGGCTCAAAAGTTTTTCTTGTGAGTTTATAGTTTGATAGAAAGATTTATCATTACCTTTATAACCAAAACTTTTGGCTTGTGAAAAAAATGCTTTTTTGACACTAGATTATTGCATTTATTTGCGCTATATGAGAGTAACCAAAAGCAACGTACTTTCAAGAATCCTTTAGGTAGTACGTATAAGGTGTAAGAAATAATTTGATTCATTATTAAGAGCAATTTTCTCGAGTTTTGTGGCATCTGTGCTCATGGCTCTTTTGTATTTCATGCCTTTCTTCTTTTTTTCTTCTTTCTTGTTTCTTCTTTTTTTTAATTATGTCATTTTATTTTATTGAATTTGTTTTCATTTCACTTATTTATTTATTTATTATATATTTTGATTTGATCTTATATTCTTTATTTTAGTGTATTGTATGGTGTTGTGTTGTTTTATTTTAGAGGGGTAAATTTAATAACTGTGTATAACAGATTTTGCAGCCCCCGAACAGGCGATGCAAAACCAAACAATCAACTTTTTAAACTTTTGTGGGCAAAGCTGTATCACTTTGCTGGTCTTGTCCTATACAGTATATATTATTTTTTTTCCTATTCTGTTTTGTGTTTTTAGTTCACTTTATTCTATCTTATGCATTTCATTTTGTTTGAGTTTATTTCAATTAATTCTATTGTTTTATTCAATTTAATATCCTTTATTTAATCATATCATTTGATTGTAATTGATGTATTTCAATTTAATTTAATTTAATTTGTTTTGTATGATTATAATTTAACTTGATAAGTGAAACAAATGGCTTAATTCATTGTACTTTTTCTTTTACAAGCTGCATTTTTTTTTTTTAACTTTTACTTTGAACGTTTTTTGCCGGAAGTCCTGTTTTCATCCTCCTGGTGTGCTCATTATTGTAGCTGAAGGCTTGAGCGAGGCGCGTTTGCAGTGACTCTGGGGAGCGTTCAGACTCTGCACACACGGACTGAAGTTTGCAGTTTGGTTTATCTTTAACCTTCAGCGGCTCCATTTACCGGCCAGTTGATCATGTTCAGCGAAGAAGAAAGAGGGGAAGTGAAATAAATAGCCGGCCTGGATGTGACTCTGTCATAATTGTTCTTTTCTGATGATGATTTACTAAATGGGAGTGCGCTCCTCTGGACTGAACTGGATATATGATTGACTTGAGAACCTTTATGCCATAATTTTGCTTCAGGTGAACCAATAACTCAAAAACAGTGATGGAGAACCACATGCCTTTGATATGGATGCTGTTGTGTCTGTTTCTGCGACCATCATGGACCCAGAACCCCGCACCTGAAGGAGGTAAGCGCCCTCATTGATCCAGCAGAGTTGAAACTTTATGGTTGGAGTTTTATACGAGAAAGAAGAGCCAGAGATGTCCCAATTTTAGCAGCTTTGTTTGAGGTATTAAAACCTGAAAATTACATATTTTGGGAACTTTTGTCCTTTTTTGGGGGGGACAAGTATTTATCTGAAAGATCGTATTGCTGTGATTTAGAAACTAAACTTAATGATCAATTATATTATTAGATTGTCTACCTCTTAATCCCCAATATCTATGACCCGAGTGAAAATCTAATATTAGATACGATAACTTTACAATCAGAATCTGATGCTTCTGCAAAGGGTGGAGGGTCTGTCTGTCTGTCTGTCTGTCTGCTCGGGGTGGATCAGGGTGGGGTTGATTTTACACTAGTGTTCTCATTGAAATGGCATGACTCCAGGTATTGATGTGTGAGATGATGAAATTCCCCAGCCTGGGGGCAGTGATTCCTAAAACTGGGGCACAACCAGGGACCACCCAGAGGTACTTTGGAAGGCTTCAGGTGCTTCCCCATACAAAGAGAGAGGAATTCTGATTTTATTATTATCCGGTGATGAAATATTTCTGCAGAGGTTTCCAGGAAGGGAGAAGCTGTCACCAGATCAACTGAAAAATAAGCTTTTTATTAGAAATTCATTATTACAGCGCAATAATGATATGAAAATAGAAAGTTGAGGCCAAGAATGACAGATCTGATCCGCACTTTTGTTTTTCCTCACAATACAAGAAAAAATAATATTTTAATAACTTTTATTATTGCCAAAAATCACATAATCATTTGACTTAATATGGTAACACAGCATGATGGTCTTCCTTCCAAAGCCAAACTGGGGTAGGATTTTTCAGACTGATGTTGTTTTACAGATTCAGAGGGGTAAATTTAATAATTGAGTATAACAAATTTTGCAGCCCCCAAACAGGCAATGCAAAACCAAACAATCAACTTTTTAAAGCTTTTGTGGGGGACGCTGTATCACTTTGCTGGACTTGTCCTATACAGTAGTGCTCATTTCTAACCAAAACATTTAGCCTGAAGTCTTTTAACTAAGAATCTTTACCTACCTTGACAAATTGTTGTGAAAGATGTAGAAAAGTGCTGCTTTGGCAGGGTGTTGTTTGCTTTTTGTTACACTGACCTGTCACAGGCGTCAGAGAGAACTACTTTGCCTTTTCGCAGGTGGTTTGCTTTTGTAGTCATGAAAAAATGCACAAGTAGTTCTGCCAGAATGGTTTATAACAAGTTAAGAACTCTGTGCAAGGATTCAAGGACTCTGAACACTGTCTGCTCTGTTGCAAGAGCTGAAAACAGTGATGAGAGTGCAAGAACCATGAGAGAGCGTGTGAACAGAGCAGTACCTCTTTGATGATGTTGTCCTGTCCAACATCAAAAGTCCTTCCTGACAGTAAATCTCAGTCAGACTTGTTGCTTTCCTTCAACTTTTGCTGTGGAAAATGTATCAAAAAGCCACTTTGGCGTCATGTTGTTCATTGTCTCTTCTAGCACTGACCTTTATTAGCATCTAAAATAACTACAAAGAAATAGTCAGTGAGCTGGTGGTCTGCTTTTGTAGCTGTGAAAAAAAGGCACCAGTAGTTATGTCAGTCTGTGAAAGCAGTTTAAAAACCCCACACAGGGATTTAAAGAACTCTAAAAATTATCCACTCTCTTAAGTGCTGCAGACAGTGCTGAGAGTGTTAGAAACTATGGAGCCTGAGCTGGACAGACTATGTGACAGTACTATGATTGTAGTGTGGCATGATTGTTGTCTGAGGGAAAATCTATATTGGAATTTCAAGGTCATTATGATAGTCAGGCATTAATTCATTTCACAACACTACCTAAGTAAAGTATGTTTAAATTGTATTATACCATATTTAATTCACATGGTATGGTGCTGGACATGTCAGGTATTTGAACCTACAATGCCAAACATGTAGTCCATACAAACAGTGACATGATCACAGTCCACAGACCTTGCTGCTGTCTTGCATTTGTTATCTTTGCACTAAAATGCCATTTTCCCTGCTATGCCATTTATTGCAACTTGGATGTTCATATTAACCATCTACTAACTTGGTATTTCTTATGGTAACTCATCATTAAAGCTCCAGTTAGGAGTTTTTTGACATTTATGAAATAGACTGAAATTCATAATGGTGCCTTTTTATGATATATAAAGCAAACAAGACCATAAAGGATAAAATGTATGAATTCATTTAGCAGTTTTTGAGGCCTGAAATTGGTGTGATGGGGAGTAGGTGTCAGCAGAGCCTCTGACAAAAACAGCCCTCTTTTTACATCTTCCACATCAAATATTCACAAAAAATATGAATTTGACTGTTAAAACTCAACAGGGTAAGCTTGTAAGTCAGAGGACAGTAGTTGATTTAAACTAAAGTTCCTCACAGGAGCTTTAACGTAATACCACTCAGTTATGATATAATAAATTTAGTCAAACCTGTAGTGTTGGGCGATAATCCTGCAGATACTATATCAAGTTTGATGTGTTTAACTTTTAGCTGCGTCTTTTTGCAGCAGGATTTGCACATGAATGGATAGCAGGCATCTTGAGTAACTCCTTGGTTATTCTTGGTGTACTTTAATTGCTCCCACACTGCGGACTTCACTCATGTCTTTGACGGAAACACCCCTCCTTGCTCTCTGTGCCACAGTGCAGCTACCCTATCGCAGCCTCCATGTCTTTCAATAAGCAGGATATTAAGCCAGTGGGCCGCAGGTGTCACTTTGTGTTTATTCTGTGCAGGTTGGGCCCACATGATATACTGACCTCTCTCTGAGTTTGACAGCAGGAGCACTCATTGTTGCTGAGCCTCTATGACTAAATGAACATGAAATTATTTTGTGTGGTTAATACTGAAACCACTAATTGCTGTAACTTGATGTGATACCATTAAATCAACACAAGCATGTGCATTACAATTTAAGTGAGAAAAAAATTTCAGGCAGGCACATATTTAAAGATATATGCAGCGAGAGCCATGTAAAACATCAGTCATCTTGTCAGCTGATTTTCACACTTAAACGTCTTTAATTGTAATACGTTTTGATCAGTGTTTTAAGATTCCTGAAAACTTGACACAGCCAAATTTATCAGCGGTGCCTTCATGACTTACCATAAAGCTTATGGCCATGAGGTGTCAGACGGGCTAAACTTGGTGGTGGTGACACTGACAGGTCTGTTTGTGTGAGCAGATCTTTATGATGGTTTCAACAGAGTAGTGAGTGACATGTTGTAATTTTGCTCTTTCCATTTATAGAGACCTGAGAGCCTGCTCCAACATAGCTTGAAGTAATTGGGCTTTTTATAAGTGGTCATGCTGTTATTGCATGCGCACATATTACATGTCAGCCCTGTGTAATGCTGCCCACACAACCCACAAAACAATAAGTAACTCATAATGGTTAACCAAACAGTATGAAAAGTTGTGCCTCAGAGGAACTAATCAGTGTCTTTCTCTCTTGCTGTAAAACAAGTGGTGATTCTTACAAAGCCTCCGGCAGGGGTTTCATGCTGTTCTGGTCTTAAAACACTCAAAATTAAAATTCCCCTGATGTTCTGCAGCACATCACATGCTTGTATTTTTCATGCAAGGCCCTTATTTTCTTGCTTCATTGTTTTCTTCATAGGGTTCAAACATTACTGTTGCATGTGTCCATAAAAACTCCCATGTGCTCTGCAGGTTGTGAGAGACCTTCTCTACTCCTGTATCGCATTACTGGGGCCACGTGAGACTTTTACACTTCATTTTTCCACCGTAACATCACTGCAGTGTTAATAGTCCAGCTGATAAATCAGATTTATGGTGCGTATGATAACACTAGGTTGCGTTTAAAGACGTCTTTTCTCTAGATAAACAGCACAGAGGCTATCTCCAGACATCAACATATGGGTTTCAGATAAGCGCTTACCTGCACAAAGGTAGACGTAAGGGTGGCTGTGATAAAGAGCGGCTCTCTTACTTCAAAGTTCAAATAACACTACACATCTGAGGAATTCTTTCGGCTGATGGAGAGCGCATGTCTGCATGAGTGTGTGCATGCTTGATTCATGTGTGTTTACATGGCGAGCTGCTTTCTCGGTTTTCATTCTTCACACTTCAGCCATTCAAAAATAGCAAACAGAGATGTGAAAAGAGGCATTAGGTTCTGGATTCATGGCCTCTAAATGCAGCTGTATTAAATCAGAGTAATCAAGAGGCAATCTAATCTTCATTCAGCCTATATCCGTTTCACACAAGTTTATTTTTCTTCCTTCTCAACTCTTGCTCTCAGATTTTCACAGATTGCAGTGACTTCACAGTCTGAAGATTTGCATCTAAATACAGCCTTTAGATCCCATCTGTATCGCTTCTTCTTCTTCTTCTCTTTCCCACTCTCTCTCTTTCTGCTCTGTATATGGCCATCCAACATTCCTCCTCGTCTCTCACATGGAACTGCCAGCGAACCCCCCCCCCTCGGTCCCACTCTCCTTTTAACGCCTTTTATTTCCCCCCTTCCCACCTCCTTTCCTCACTCTCTCTCACTCTCCTCACATTGCCCAGCAGCTACTGTTTTTCCTCCCCTCCTCCTGTCATCCCCCTTGGCATCACCTTCACTTCTGTTACGAAATATGGAGAAAATTTGGGCTCAGTAGCGCTCAGAGGTCTTTCATCAGTCATTATCTTTTGAAGTTATCATACTGTCAGCAGCTATTTGTTGTTCACTCTGTTTCTGTTTCATCTTATCTTTGCTGTAATTATCTCACTTGCTTCTGAATTTGCTGCTTTCATGTTGATAGTATCGCACATCAATGCTGTGTGACTTTTGTTGCTCAAGAAAGGTCAATTAAGGGAAGGTGTTTGTGTTATAAATACCTCCTGACACGGTCTGAAATGCTTATCTGAAAATGTAAACAGCCAGTGCACCAGTTCAGTTTAGCTGAGCAGCCATTACAGCTGCACAACACCAACATACATAGTAATAAGGCATGTTGCAGCCAGTGTTAAAGAGCAGCAAAGAAACCCCTTGTGTTCGGGTATAACTTTGACTTGTTTAAGGCTTTTTTTTAACATAGTCTGCTGATAAAACTTTGAGCTGTTTTATATGGTGTATCAAGCTTGTTTTAATATCTTCATTTTGGACAATAATAATTGTATTTTTCTGTATTTCTTCACCAAAGTGCTCAACTGCTGCGAGGGTGATGTCCTCTTCCTACTGGATTCCTCTGGCAGCGTTTCCTCCTATGAGCACTCCCGCATGCTCGCCTTTCTCTCCGAACTCCTCCTCCCTTTCTCTTTGGGTGAGGACCAGGTGAGGGTGGGACTTCTACAGGTAGGAACCAAACCACGCCTTGAGTTTGGCTTTGACACCTTCACCACCCAAAGTGGCCTCCAGGGGGCTTTAAAGAACACCAAACCTCTGAGGGGGGACACCAACACAGTGGAGGCTTTGAAGATGGCAAAGGAGAGGGTGCTGAGACCCGGAGTGGCAGGCGGGACCAGGGAAGGGCTCCCAAGGGTGCTGGTGTGGTTAACAGATGGGGTGAAACCGGGTGATGTGATCGGACCAATGGCAGAGCTGAGAGAAGAGGGTGTGGCTGTTTTGGTGGTCTCCACTGGTCATGGCAACTATCTGGTGTTGAGGGAGGTGGTGAGCCCGCCTGTGGAAGAGCATCTGTACTTTGTGGATATTGATGATATGAGCATCATCACAGAGGACCTGAGGAACGCCATCATTGGTAAGTGTGAGGACTAATAAGTACATTGGTGATATTTAGTACTTAGCTTGTGTCATTTGGTTCAACCTTTTAGGGCCTGTGTACACTCACAGCTTTCCCTCTGCTGGTAGCATCTATCTTCTACACAAAGCCAATGCAGTTTGAGCTCAGCATCTTAAAAAGTTCTTGGTGTGAACTGTTTCTGTTGCTCGGAACCCTCTAAGACGGAAACTTTTCAAACACCTCTGGGCTCATGAATGCCACATCTTTATATTGGCCAATCAGAATCAAGAAGGTACTGACCCTCTGAGAACAGTTTTGCTAACAGCAATGACAGAGGTTTGTACAGAGGAAAATCCTGTCATCCTTTTATTGTTTTTTTAAGTCACAATTTCCTGATTTAGAGCTGCTGTGAATGCTACTACATGACTTCTATCACTCGTTTTTACAGTGCCTTAGTAAAGTTCATAGAATAAATGTGACTTTGAAGCATTCAGAGAATTTTAAAACAGACCAAATGGTCGTTACTGAGAGAATCAGAAATGCCAAATAACAATTTTTATTACAAAGCAGTTATAAGGAGGTGCCCTGAAACAGAAGCAAAAATGCCATTGGTGGATCCCGACCCTTATACTTCCATCAAGCAGAAAAGAGCTAGACCTGCTCAGGACCAAGAGCAGCTAGTTTGCCACTGGCTGGTTAATGTTAAGTCTCAAGCAGGCAATCAATAAGATATTGTCTCAATTCATTGTAGCAGAGCCCAAACCAGAACTAAAAGAGAGCAGATTTTTAACATATATTTTATGGGTTGTGACCAAAAACACAATACAGTCTGTACCAAATGTTTATGAGGACAACTTCCTGCCACCTCTGAAACTTGTGGCTGCATGGTTGCTTTTCAACATTGTTTACCCACGTGGCGAACAGCTGTTTCTTCTGTTTTGATTATGGTTAAACACTGCAGCTTGGCTCTTCTGGTTTACCTTTTAGGGCCCACGTCCACTAACAGCATTTTTTAATGTTGTAAAGTAAAATAAGAACTGCGGAAAAATGTTAATATATTTTCATGTCTTTAAATGATTTGGTGTTCATGATAACATGACGTTTTTTTATGAAAAATACATCCAGGCAAATTTCATTGCAACTGTATTCTTGAGAAATAGTCTGTCTACTCTGCATATCAATCTCTGCAGACACGTTGATTCTTTTTGTGATTCAGGAAGTAAAACCCTTTGAAATCAGATCCAAATTTGCCTAACTGATGTGTTTCATAAGCAGATACACCCTCATTCTAGCCGTCTCCCAATCATACACAGATGTATTACGTGTCTCAGTGCTTCACCCTAATTCCAGACATGCTCTTGAAGACAGTGAGTGAGACCAAATAGGAAACTAAGACACTGACACTGTCTGTGAGTGTATGTGAGAGTCCCTGTAATGAGATATGACTATCTATTAATGGATTAATGATTCAGTTCCCTTTCTACATCATCCAACACTATGTCAGACATGATACATGTATATATATATATTTAAACATTTATATATAAACTGGGGAGGTCACCTACTTCTCTCGCCAGATTAGGTAACTGCCATAACATTCACTTGGGACACCTCAGCAATTATACAGTAAGTACTGCAGCTTTGGGACATGATGCATGATATAAATAAGGCTGTTGTACATCAAGGAGCAATGCATCAGTCCTAACTAAGTGGTTCCTATCATAGATAAAATTGCCTCTGTGGCATTTGTTATTATATTGCAGGGCCTCGCTGGGTTGGCTATTTCAAGTTGTCTTACTGCAACTGTTGTGAAAGCGTCTAGAAACCCAAGTCTAGCTTCGTGGGTGGCTGTCTGAAGACGAGGCATTTTTAGCACTCTGTCTTGTCCCTGTCACCATCCTTTCTACATGTCTTTGCAGAATTTTAACTCTGACAGGCTAGTATGTGGTCAGTAACATCATTCACTTTTTGCCCCCAACAGAGATCATCCGAGCTGAGCGAATCACTGTGCGAGATGTCTCTACCAACGCGGCCACGCTGCAGTGGCGACCTGTTCTGTCCGGTTTGACAGGACACTACGAGATCCGCTTTGGTCCAGCTCCAGGTGGTACAGGAGGCGGTGGAACAGCTGGAACTGGGACCAGTCCGAGCATTAGTGGCACTCAGTACCAGAGAATAACGCAGTCTGCAGATTCCAGCACTGCTAGGCTCACGGGCCTGAAGCCTGACACCACCTACACTGCTACACTGACACCGGAGTCCAATGAACAAGCATTTAATGCTCTATCTGTCAGCTTTACAACAAAGCCAGGTTAGGATACATCTTATGTATGCTTTACTCCAGGACTTACTGCTTTACTTCACCTCCTACCCTGAACCCTTTTTTGGGCTGGTGATCATCCAAAAGGAAAGCAAAGTCTCAAAATGAAGGTTTTCTCTGCTTTGGTGTGTAATATTGTATTGTAAATTAGTTGTCTTAACTTCTGCCATTTTAAAGGGTTACAGTTAAATTTACAGTTATTTTAACATACATAAAACTGCTGGTTTCTTCAATTCTCTCTGTAGCTATCAAAGAGTTATTCATGAAACCACACCTCCCTTAAGACAGACGATTATAAGAATTGGAGACCATGACAACCCCCGCATTATCTCTGTGTGACCCCTTATTTTTCCCATCTCTATTCACTCCAGAGGTGCTGAGCCCAGCTACAGTGGCCATCTCTGACTCAAGTGCAACCAGCGTTCGGGTGAGCTGGGGTCCCATTCAGCCTGACAAGGTCACAAGCTACTACATCGAGTACTCTGCCCTTCCTAGGGGCAAACTCAATGCTGTGACCGTGAGCCGAACACAAAACTCCACACTCCTCAGAAACCTTCAGCCAGATACGACATACCTGGTTACGGTTACCGCTCGACACGCTTCAGGCAAGGAGAAGGCCATGTCTGTCAAAGTCTGCACTCAGGAAGGTGAGCTGGAGAAGAAAATGCAGTCTAATGTGACAAGCAGATCAATTTACTACACTCTAATCCTAATCTTGTACAGCCCTTTCCCTTTTGACTCTAAAATTTCAGATAATTACCTGCAATTTTGTTCAGGTTTGACTACTTTAAGTGCTCCCTGAGTAGCTGGGAGAGCCCGAGTTAAAAAAAAAAATCTAATTTTTTCCCCGCAGGAGTTCTATTCATGCTTTTCTATTTCCTTCAGCTTTGATGTGTTTTTTAATTTTCATGTTTGTTTGACAAGCACAGCCATGGCTAATTTATAACCACTAAAACATACACGAATATCAGTTTCTGCAACAAAGTGTTAGAATGCGTATATATATGTATTTGTTTGTCATTTTTACTGTATAGTTTATGTTCACAGACTTGCTTTAGTTTCAGGTTTCTCTTTATATGTCTGTTAAAGCCCTTAAGTTCTGTCAGTTTCTACTTTCCTCTCAGTAGACATCTCTGTGCTTTTCACCTCTAGTGACTCCTGCCCTGGCAGACCTGCAGCTGACCACAGTGGGCAGTGACTCGGTGCAAGTCGACTGGAAGGGCGACGTTGATGGTCTGAGGGGCTACTGGCTCACCTGGGAGGGACAGCAGAATGCACTACCTGGCCAGCGCTCATCCCTCTATTTGCCACCTGACTCTCTATCAACACGCCTCACACACCTTCCACCTTTGGCTAGAGTGTGTGTGTCACCCATTTACCGGACAGCACGGGGAGAGGGACTGTGTTGTACAGCTCAGTTTCATTCAGGTGAGTAATAAAGAAATATAACACTTGTGTCAATATGACAGGAACGGTTTGACAGGTGAAGGTTTATGTTTGTTTTCTCTTAAAAGTCTTAGCCTTAAATCCACAGCTTGAGGCAGAAGGCAGGCAGCCCAGCTTAGCACAAAAACCTGGAGGATAAAACAGTATATGATTCTCAATCCAAAGCCCTGCTCCTGGCCAGGTAAAGAGCTAATCCTGCTCTGTCTTAAGTTGGAAAAAGACAGGTTAAGCCATCTCCCCTTGCTTCCAGATTTGGTACAAAGCGTAGTTCCCCAGCAGCTTCATATTTGGCTCAGAAAACATTAGAAAAATGAATTTGGGAAAGGTCAAAATGTATTATTTTTTTTATCATTTCAATGCTGCAGATGGAAAATTCCTTGGAGCCACTAAAGTCCCATTAAGTGATCTTTTTGATCTAAATAAAGCTCCCGTGAGGAACTTCAGGGGCTTCATACAGTCGAATGTGTGATTACTGTGCCATCAACAACAATCAATTTTGAAATAATCCATTTATGTCAAAGCAGATGTTTTTTTCTGATAGCTTTGTTCAAAGAGCACATATATTTTTTAATATCACCTAAAAAGGTTTCTCACATGTTTCTCACAATCATTTCTCATGTCTTGCTTTCTCTTTCTTCTCTTTAGATGCATTTGCATATGGGTACCAATCATAGCACCCCTGAACTGAGAGCACACCTAACCAAACATGGAGGGACGATGGCTCCAAGAATGCTCACTTTTACCAATAACTCTCTCCCCTGCCTCTCCCCTCTGTGGACATCCTCCAGGAGAGCTATGTGGTTTGGCTCACTGTGCACTCATGTGGAAGCCATAGACACTTAATCATGGTTTGGGACAATATGGCCACATATGGACCGCTGCAGTCAGCAACACAGAGGACTGTTTGCTTTTCTGTTTCTGTGTCTCATCTGGTTAACACCTGCAGTAAATGTATAACGCTTCAGTTCAAAGATGCAACCTTTGGTTTTTTCTTACGTCTGTCTTGCAGTTACAGAGCAGGGCATGCTGGGAATGTTGAATGTCTTATGTGGCTTGTTTTGGAGACAGGCTTTGCTCCATATGTGGGCCCGAAGCCCAACTCTGCATTTTTTTTTCAGTTCCTGCTAACACTTACAGAACATCTGATTTACATTTATAATGGATACATAAGACTTGTACTAAAAGACTCTCTTTCAGCACTTGCATACATTTAGACCATTAACATCTCTAATAACAGGATTTCAGGACTGCTTTGAACCTCCCAGAAATTACAAACAGACATGCCCTGAAACTGCGGGGATGCTGCACATGATAGAGATGAGTTTAACTGAGAGAAGTATAATGTTGGTGTCTTCATAGATCTGTCATCCATATTTATTTATCACTAATCATGTAGGTATAAGAGGTATAATAGCATACAGTATTTACAGACATGCTGTTTACATTTGGAGACTGTTACTTTTTTAAGCAGGACTCTGCTGCCCTCTACTGAAACGCTCTTCATCCCTCACTGCTGTCTTCTAAAAGCAGATTTAAAGTTTTATCACTGTTCACCACTTTTGAAACTTAATATGAACTATCAATAAAGTCCTCTTGTAATTTTGGTATTACTCCTTGTTGTTTTTCATTTGATCATTTATTAGTATTTTTGACCAAGATCATGCAAAAATTTCCTATTAATAACCTTTTAACGGACATTTCACCAACTTCTCCTCGTCAAATTTTGAAGTCGTGAGGATGTCTACCCTAGAAATTGAAACAGTATTGTATTGTAATGTGTTGTATCTTTTTATGTAAGTGTCATGCATATAAAGTGCCCAACCTTTATAAGTTTACAAGACATCAGAACTGTTGTTGCATTGGTCCAACAACTCAATATAGAGTATTGCAAAATTGCATGTTCCTTTTACACTCAATCTTAAACATTGTATTTTGCCTTTCCTCCAGAGGTGAAATAAGTACTAAAATACTCTACATGAATCAAAATTCATTTACTTTTGTATTGTGACTAATGTAGAAGTAAAAGTATTTTAATTTACTCAAATAGAACAAAGAGGAACCTTATTTGAAATGTACCTCAAGAGTTGATAACAGCACTTTCTTTAAAGCCATAGGGTAAGCATTAGTGCTTGAAGTGACTTTTAGTCTGCGTCTGTCCAGGGGGAAGTTCATGAGTATTTCTGCTGCATCTTCTGCAAGTTTTGCACTTTGTACACAGTCCTTGTGCACTTACGCTCAGATTGGGTGCACAGATACAGCATGTTAAAATTTCTCAATAAGTTTCCTGAAACAAGATTTAATATTATTTCAGGAAACATATCAAGAAATTTTCACCTTGAAGGTTTATATTTGGTCCTGTCAGGTTGGTGCAATTTAATTTTAGAGCAGCAGATATTTTGACCAGAAATTAGACTAATTTATTCAGTAAGATTTACATTCTTTTTTTGCAGAGAAGATATCATTAACTTTGCTAACAGTTTAGCAAAGTGCTACCACACAAAATGTAGCAAAGTGTAGTACTTTCCACAAAAAGAACTTAAGTAAAAGTTAAAAAAAAAAAAAAAACTACATTTAAAAACAACTTAAAAGGACAAGTTCACAAAAAAGATACCCAGTTTCAGTAACATGAGTAGATGTTACTTTCCAGCCATGCTTTTTTCTCAGGTTTTGGAGATAAAATCTGAATCCTGTTTTATTCTTGGAAAACATTACTTTTTTTCAGCTGTATCTTGTAATTTTTGCCATACAGTCTATGATTTTTGCATATAGCATCAGCACATAATTACATTATTTGCTTTTCAACCTGTGCTTAGCTGTATAGATATTTGTAAATCCAAAATTTTCAGCTCTGAGAGAACAGTTTTATATTATAGCTTTAGCAAATATTATAGAAGATACAAACATACTCAATAAAATGATGGACTTGAGTGACTGAAATCACTTACTTTTATTAAGACTGCCCCCTGCTGGACAATTCAACTAGAGCCCTCAACTAGTAAGGAGGCATATCAGCGAAGTTTGTATTTTATTGAATATTTATAATTAAGTTTCCTTTCCTGATTAAATGCTATTTGAAGAGAATCGTTTTTAACTTTACACAGGTATTATGAATGCTACCAAGGTTGAGCCCATGGGTGGACGGTCTCAGGTTGCACAGGGTGTTGGACAAAGCACATTACTGGCACTTACAATTTAAGTGTCAGTGAAGCAGACAGTAATGAAAGCAGAACATGTCTTTATTGTCTTCTTGCACATATGATCATATATCATCACCACTGTATATGCAAAAGTCTAACCATATTATACTGGGGTGTAATGTTGGGTTGATTTGGACTAAATTGCTCCTGTGGTAATATACCAGTTTAACAGTTTCTGATTTAAATTAAATGTATATGTCAACAATCTGGGCAAATGATCAATGGTTAAATGTTTAAGGATTTTCAAACCATGTTTTGGATTAAAATTTTTTCCACATGTAAAATCAAATTACTACCAATAATAATAATGATAAATGATACAAAGCTACATATTTACACATTTCATCCATTGTGCAACAAGACTGAATTCACAGCCAGCCATGACTTAAATGTGCATGGGCCATCTTCAATAATGACAAATGAAAATGCAGAAATATTAAATAACCACCCTGGATTGGTGGGAACCACTTCCCACTTAAATGTTGAGATTATAACAGTTGGTTTAGAGAAATATGCTTTTGCATTAATTGGGGAACATCTTACTTCACCACCACCTTGGGTTAAAAGTAAGCAGCCTACATTTCAAAGAAGTGCTACATTTCATCTGGAGTAAAATATCACCACAGTAATCTTCCATCAATAGGATATTTTTCACATTTTTTCCCTCCAGCCTGGAAGCACTTGAAGGCGGCACTGTCAGTGATGCAGTTGCAGTAATAGCCAGTGGGGGGCGTCGATCTACGGATCCTGTTTCCCGTTAGCCCGTCAAGCTTCAATATCCAGCCCTGACATTGCGAAGATGGAGGCTGTTATGGTCTAGACCAGGAAACATAGAAAGCACCAACTGCAGGTTTCAGGAATCTGTTATGACAACATATCCAGCTGGTTCAGGTAAACATGAAATCTCTTTGTTAAACGTTCAAGTCTTTGTAAAGTTATGAAGCTAACACTGATGACAGCGAGAGGAGCTAATGTCAACGGATGGGCTCGCGCTAAGTATGTTAGCTAAGCTAGCTAAAAGCGTCCGATCAACTACAGCGTAATATGAAATGGGTCAGCCCAAAGAACCGCTGGGTTTTATTAGTACACTGGATTGTCTAACCCAGAGACCCAGTCTTGCATCAGAAAGCCAACCAGAACCTTACTTTGGCTCATGTCTTCAGTATGACGAGATATGTGTTTTGATGTCAGAGCTACACAGTGCTAGCATGCTAGTCATCTCCGAACCGTTTCCTGGTTCCTCGGTCTGATCAGGATCAGAGGTTCAGACGGCTGTTGTGGTCAAGTCTCTGACTTTCTTTTTAGGTTAGATCATAGAAACACCTGCTTTCCTTTAAAATGTTGTCTATTTATCCGGCCGACATACTTTCTTGTTTTGTCTGAAACAGGAGGACGTCACATGTTAAAATAATCTGGGTAGTTATAGGTCCAAATTCAAACTAATGACCTGACAAAATGTGGACTCCACTGAGCCCCTGAAGGTGTGCTGGGTCATCTTGCAACAGGATGTTTACAGTTATTCCTTCAAGTCAGCAGGTTGCAAGGTGGGTCCTCCCAGGTTCAGACTTGGGCGTCCAGCAGATCTAACAGATGCCTGGTTAAATGGAGATCCTGGGCAAGTGTAGAACAAGTCAACACCACTTTCTTCCATTGCTCCATGGTCCAGATCTTATGCTCACATATCTGTTATATGTACTTTATGTGTTGGACAGAGGTAGGGCTGGGCGATATGGGAAAAAGTTTATCACGATATATTCTTTTCATATCAGTCGTTATTGATATACATCACAATATAAAAAAATAAATTTAACAGTGATTATTGATAGCATGTCTTTTGTCATACAATAGGCTACTGCATCCGTGAGGTCTTTGTGCGTCTTCGACGTTTTGTCGTAAGACATTGTGCTAAAGAAAACGGACTGAATGGTCGGCTGTTTTGGCTGCACAGGAGCCATGGGCTCTTTGCTCCACTTGGGGTTTGCAACCTTTTGCATTGCGAGTGTGTGCACTGCTTCGGGTCGGGAAAAGGATTTAAGGTTTTCCCCAATTTTGTGAGAACATGTACTCGACATAGCAGTTGTTTGCTACTTGGTTCTAACTCAGTTCATGATTGGTTCAGTGCAAAGCAGACCCGGAGCAACTCCCCTTTCCATTGGCTATTCGTATAGTCTACCAAAACATGGCAGAATGCCGACTATCATAAAGCATATTGACCACGCTTTATATTGATATTAAGAGAAATTCATTTTCGATTTATATCATTATCATTTTATCGCCCAGCCCTAGACAGAGGTCACTATGGGCACCTGGATTGGTCTGCAGTTGTAAAGCCCCATACACCACAAACTGTGATGCACTGAGTATAAAGTAATGAGTACTCTGGCACATTTTCTATCAGAACTAGCATCACATTTACTAGCAGCTTGAGCCCCAGTTGCTCTTCTGATATCCTTTGACTGTTTTCCCTGCTTCCAACGTGTTCACTTTGAAGACAAAATGATCACCATAGCCACTGGCAGGAAGCTTTGTTACAAGAAAAATGTATTTATGTTGTTGGTCATAATATTATAGCTGATCAGAGTGTGTGCTAGATAATTAGCAAGTAGCCTGTTCATACTTCCCCCAAATTGCCATATTAAGTTCTTCCCTATTTTTTTGTCTGCAGGTGGAGGCAGGAGGTGTGAGTAGACTGCAGTGAACATCAGCAGCATGTACTCCGAGTGGCGCTCCCTGCAGCTGGTGGTGCAGAGTGACCAGGGCCACCTCAGTGTTCTGCACACCTATCCCACCAGTGTGGGTACTGAGGTAGCAAATGCTGTGGTCAAGCCTCTGGGCACAGCTGTGAGCCCTGTCGCCACAGAAAACATCCTCAAGACAGACAAAGAGGTGAGAGAGATCCCCATACTGTTAGTATTGATGTACTATGTATTGGTTGATTTGTTCTTATGTCATAGTATGTCATACTTTGAGCTCTGTCACCAAAACTTAAGTGGCTGTCAGCTACAGAACTTTTTTAATGTAAAGTGAGAGGCATCAGCCTCACCAAATTGTTGTGAGATAAACTTAAAATGATAGTTGTTACAAAAGCCAGGGGCATATCAAACTGCTAGTTTATTCAGCATGTCAGTGAATGAAGAAAAAAGGTGTAATGTGCTCAAAATAGATGGGATATACAAAAAGTTCTCCGTTTGAACTTGGCTGAAGTTCAGAAACTGTGCCTTTAAGAGGAGAGGTGAAATGGTGTTTACCATGACCTGGATGACTGAGAATCTTCACAGACAGATATACAACTACGGCTCCGCTCAGTGACAAATCGTCATCTGAGCCCTGTAACTGAAGTTTAGCTGCTTATATCAGGAGTTTAAATCATTTGCAACTTGTTATTTTATGAGTAAACATTGCTACTGTGATGAAGTTTGATTCACTTTTACTCTGAAAATCTTCGTTTGACATGAAAAGCTGCATTTTGAGCAGTAATCTGCTGAATATAGACAGAGTTACAAATAGCTGCACTCCTGGGAGATAAATATTGCTGTTTGTTTCTCAAACTTTACTCAAGTGGATGACATCTACTCTTTTTTTTTTTTTTTAGCTTAACTTCGCAAATAACGACATCAATTTCACATTTGTGTAAAGATATTTAATTTTAAATAATTTTTCAGGATTATCATTTAGTAACTCAGAAGACTAGTGCTATCATGCTTTACAGGTTTGCACAACTTTAGTCAAGCATTTCTCTATGCTTTCTGTTTTTTTATCAGCATTTAAATGAGACTGCTTACATTTGAAACCTAAGCCCCATTTTTTCGTGCAAATTTTGGAACATAAAATCTGTAATAATGGAAACAAAACTCTGGGAATTTCCCCAACCTAGTGAGGCTGTCACATGTTTATTTGTCAGGAGTGTCTCAGTCTATCTCTGGTGTTTATGAGGACGTCACAGTTCGAGTGCTGCAGTGATAGCTATCAGTGCAGGAGCTTAAGACCAGACAAAAATCAGGTGTTTCGTTTTGGTTATACATGCCTCCTTTCAGTGCCTCTGCAGTGCTGATGAAGTGAGTGCTGTCTGGATGAACGCTCATATGCATGCTGCATGTTTTGGTTTTGGTATCACAAATTATGATACAACTAATGATATTCTGAGCACAATGTTATTAATGGTTTTAGTTGTTGAATATTTATTTCTCAAATCTAAACATACAAATACTGTTGAGCTAACAGAATTTAAACTCTGATAATAAAAGCAGACATGGGGCATGGGTAAATTTTACAACATGAATAATATTTGCTTGTTAATGTAGAGTGTGAGCACTTTTACTCAGAGCTTTCCATGTATGATCTGGTCACACAGGAAGCATACTGACACCAGATGTAAATGACCCCTGAGACTCTGTAGGTGCGCTCTACTGTGGTTTTATTTTTGGCATTGATGACCTTTAGCTGTCTCTGTCTTTTACAAGTCTTCTCTCACAGGCGATCATCATACTTTGCTCAGGTGTTGTTGATACAAATTAGTCATATTGCCACATAACTGCATATTTTGCACAACGCTTCTTTCTGTTCAACGCTGTGGTAACTGAATCCAGAATATTCCCTTAAAGCAGACATTGTGATTTTTCTCACCATGCTTGTGCTGGTCATGCTCATACTTGTCGCCATCCATGTTAGCCACTCTGTGTGCTGGAGAGTCCTATGAGTGATCACACATGCTTCACGCACAGACAGACAAACTGTCAGAACAGCTAATGGGGCAAAAAGACTCCAAATAATCAGTAGAGACGAGAGAGGCTTTAACATTTTTAGACACACTCACGCGCGCGCACGCGCACACACACACACACACACACACACACACACACACACACACACACACACACACACACACACACACACACACACAAATAAATACATATTAAAGCTGTTTCAAATGCAAATCACAGCCCTTTGTGCGATGATAAACTTGCACATTCTTGCATCCCATTTGAGACTGTAATTAGACTAATCATGCAGTGCTAATGTATATACTGTACTCTGCATATAGTGCATGGTTTTTGAAGAAAAAAGATTGTTCATGGCTTTTTCTGTGTCTTAAAGCTTTTGATAAACATACCATATTAAGACAAATAGCCAGAATTAGAGCCACAATCAAACAAAGAATTCTTGGTCGACTAAAACCTTAATTTTTGACCAAAAATTGACTAATGGGGGAGCTGCGGCGGGGGGACAACTCCGCTTGGCTGGGTGAAAATATACTGATATCAACACAAGAAGGCAATTAAACACTAATACTACATTCAGCAAACCACCAGACGTTGATTAACGTGGACGCTCTTCAATCTTCCTGACTCCTGCTGGTCTCTAGTGAGTGTGGCGAATCCAAAATGGTGAAAACAAGGGGGGGTGTTCTGAGACAGGCTGTTACCTGTGAAATGCGGGTGCTCTAAAAACACCCCCATTAGCACTTGGTAGGTTCCTCCTGGTGAAATGAACCGTAGACTGTAAATTGACGCAGAAAAAAATCGAGTCGACCACTCAGAATTTTGGTCAACTCAGCACGTATCAACCAATAAGTCGACCAGTCGACTAGGACTTTACAGCCCTAGTCAGAATACTTAATTCACCCTTTTAAAGGAATTGTTTTTACACTTATGTATATTTTTAGTGTGTCACTAACTCTTTCTCAGGCTTTCTTTGATTGATTGCTGAATCAGCTATGAAAAAAACGATCAGGTTGTTTTGTTTGCATGTTCTGTATCCCCTAACAAGCACCACTGAGAGCAAATGAACCGCAGAGCTCACAGAAGTCATAGGTTTCAATTAATGCAATGTGAGAGGATGTGCTGCTGGGTTAAAAATACTCCAGCAGTATTTCTCAGGTGCACCAGGCCTCTGAAAGGCTGCTGTTGCTTTGAACTTCACTTCATGCGGAGGATAAAGCTTGGGTAAACATTCCTGTCAGTGCTGATGTACACTGACTCCTTCCCCTTTACAAATATTACACCAAACATCATAAGAAGCTTTACATGAGCAGGAAGCAGAAAGCTGTCCAGGAAGAGCTGTTACACAGGCAGCCTTTTAATGTGAGCTGATTGAAGTGTGCTGCTGTGTAATGTGAGAAAGAGAAATAAACACACTTAGAAGATACTGAACCTGCAAAGCAATGACTCAGGATTATAGGAAGAAAGAAACATGATTGAGTCATCCTGCTTTTTACAAAAGGTTTACTCCCATTACATTTTGGACAAAGAATCTTCTTTTTACTCATCTCCTTCATTTTGAATATTCAGTCTGTTAAAAACATGTAGAGAGAGAAAGAGAGATGGCTGAGAAAGGCAGTGCATTGTTATTGCCACCATCATCCCATCATAAACCTTTGGCCGTCCCTGTTATGAGGTGGTAAATCATGTGTTTAGCTTCATGAGGTTATGCACTTTTTATAGTGTGATTGTGCACATGGGTATGGTATTGAATGAAATCAATGGCAGCACTTGTAGAATATTAGGCTGTGTTGAGAATATGATTTTGAAGTCGTTTATTTCTTGCCATGTGCAGTGGGATAAATGACCTATTGCTTCACAGAAAAGTGCCCCTCAAAAAAAAAAAAAACTCAAAACTTTATGGCTTGATTTCCAGGTAAAGTGGACCATGGAGGTGCTCTGTTACGGTCTCACTCTCCCCCTAGAGGGGGACACAGTCAAGCTGTGTGTGGATGTTTACACAGACTGGATGATGGCCCTGGTGTCACCCAGAGACTCAATGCCTCAGCCTGTTGTCAAAGAGCCTAATATGTATGTCCAGACCATCCTCAAACATCTCTACAACGTCTTTGTACCAAGGTACGTCAGAAATATTCACAGATGGGTCTGAACCTCCTGCTAGTTTGTTTCTATCATTTGAAATGTCTGCTGTTTTACTTGATGTCTGTTCTTGGTAAGTTAAGCTCTATAAATGTCGACTGTTGTCACTTGGATGCCTGCTGTTTTTCTCATCATGCCTCTGATTTCCCTTGTTTTGATCTCCTCATCTCTCCCTGCAGACCTGAGCAGCACAGTCTGAACCACATCAGGCTTTGCCAGCAGGTCCTGACTGCAGTCCAGAAATTGGCAAGAGAGTCTGTATCCATGGTGAGGGAAACCTGGGAGGTGCTGCTTCTCTTCCTGCTTCGTGTTAACGACACATTACTTGCACCACCTACAGTTGGAGGTACGCCCCTCCCTCCCTCCTTCTCTTGCTTTTTGTGCCTTCTAATTAAGTACTATTAACAGTTCCAATAATCTCCTGATGCGTTCCCTTTTTTCAGTTGGGGTGGCTGAGAAACTGGCAGAGAAACTGATGGCAGTGCTGTTTGAGGTGTGGCTGCTTGCATGTGCCCGCTGCTTTCCCACGCCACCATACTGGAAGACAGCGAGGGAGATGCTGGCAAACTGGAGACACCACCCACCTGTTGTAGAGCAGTGGAGCAGAGTGGCCTGTGCCCTGACCTCTAGGTTAGAAAGATATCAACTTAATATCCTGTTGAACCTGCAAGTAGGGCTTTAAGAGTTTGGTTGTTCTATAAAAGGTTGAGCCATTTAATCTGTTGATCAGTTGTCTTGTCAAACCTGTTTGGTTCCAGTTTCCAAAAAGAAAAGAGAAGAATGAAACTTCACTTCAAGCTGATCAGTTGCAGCTTTTGTGGTAGAGAATATTCACTGTATCTTGGGACGGGATCGAAACTGGTTCTGGATTTTTGGATGCCCTAAAGTCAATCATGCTTGAGCTTATCAAGACTGCAACAAAGTCTCATGAATCCCATTATGTAACATTGTGTTGTTAATCAGGGTTTACTAAACCAAGTCATTGATGCACAAACACACATTGACTGTCTAACAAAGTTTCTGAATAAAATCAAATTTCCAGCTGAAAGGTTCTAAACTACATGTAGAATTCTGGTGGTCAGTTGCTTGTAAGGATGGTTGAATATACAAATAGGTCCACAGCTTGGCTAAGTGCCATACCTTTGCCATTCAAACACTGCCAACATTTAGTTGCTGCTGCAGGAAAGTTATCCTCGTCTCCCACAAAAAGCAGCTGCAGTAATTGCCCCCAATCTTTGTAGCAAGAATGAAAAGTTAGAAATTGTCATTTATTGCCAAAATACGTGTTAAAGCTACAGGGGGTTACAAGGTCAGGTCAGTAAAATGAGTACAAGAGGAGGTAAATATAATGTAATGATGATGTTTTCAGATGATGCAAAAAACCCCTCATCACACCTTATTTGTCAGTGGTTTTAAAAATAGAAAAATACAATTATGATGTAGTATTATAATTGTCATTTTAGAATTTCTGTCTCTTTTTCAATCCAGGCTTCTGCGTTTCACTCATGGACCGTCTTTCCCTCCTTTCAAAGTTCCTGACGAAGATGCCAACCTTATTCCTCTAGAGATGGACAATGACTGTGTTGCACAGACGTGGTACCGCTTTCTCCACATGCTCAGGTGCATAAACAATCAATTTTCTGTAATCTTCTTTGTAATAATCAGAACTGACCAGTTACCGTCAAACTAAATGCAGTGTAGAAAACAGAGAAGTAAAGAAGAAGAAGCAAAGGTAGTCAATCAAATAGTTCCCTTTCTTTGTTTGTCTTTGGACTCTGTCGCAGTTACATTTTGTTATGGCTGCTCAAAATCATTATTTTTTGTTCTGTGTCATACCTCTATTATCTTTTAATGCCATTTCAAAATCTAAGTTTAAATGCCAGAACTAAGATTTCATTTTTGTAAGTCATAGCAGAATCAGCTGTTAGATAATTGGAGTATCATTTGAAAATTCTGCAGAACTGTTCACTATGTCTTTCTTTGTTTATAGCAACCCAGTGGACCTGAGTAACCCCGCGATAGTTAGCACCACTCCAAAGTTTCAGGAACAGTTCCTGAACTCCAGCGGCATCCCTCATGAAGTGGTGCTGCATCCGTGTTTGAAGCAGCTACCCCAGATCTTTTTCAGGGCCATGAGAGGTGTCAGCTGCCTTGTGGATGCCTTTCTAGGTAAGCGAAGTTCAGCCAGGGGGCATTCATGTTGCAAATGTTGGAGCCGGCAGTGGGATACATTACAGAATGAAACTTAAAAATGTAGCACTTAGATCATGAATGTTTTTTCATGTGAGCAAGAGCACTTCATAACAAGTCATTCATTTTGTGGTGTACAAAGTTCAGTTTCAAGGTAGCCGTCTCCTTTAGTAAGCTAACCAACTGCTTTCAGAATGATAACACAGCTGCATTTTTAGTAAATAGATTTATCTTTTTGATTTAACATTTTGTAGAGACAGGGAACTCCTTTAAGTCTTTAAATGTGATGAGGTGCTGAGCCATTCTGTCCTTGAATCTGAGTGTTGCATGGAATAGATGCAAATGCTGTTTCCAGCAGTTGCTAGAGGAAAGAAAAAATGCATAAAACACTAATCTAAAGCGGTGGTATCTGTGGTTAGTATGAGAATAACTTGAATTTGCTAGAACATTAAGCAATAATATACAGCAGTAATCAAAATGATTTATTTCATGAAAGTTTCTTTCCCTTTGATTGTAATCAGATGCTACTCCTGAGTGAACTCAAGAGGAGAGCTGTCAGTCAGAAAAACCTGTTTTAAACATCTGAATAGAAACATGTCAGTGTGTATTTTTTTCTTTATACTATAGGTGTCTCTGTTGAAAAGAAAGATGTACGGGAGAGGGTGTTCTCTTTTTCTCCAGTGCTGCTCTCTCATGGTACAGACATCAGCTGATACATTGTGAAATGACACGGGGATTTGATGGAGTTTTCCATGTTTTGGTGGTGATAATAATAACAACTGGGCTTGCTCCTACATGACAGGCATTCAGACTAAGCAACAAGATCAGAAACCAGTGGTATCATGCAAGCAAAAACCATCAATCCACGTGGATGGATATCAATTATTGCTGATTTGTGTCTAACCATGTCTTGCATGTCTACGAATGAAAATTGATCATGATCGACTTACAGACTTGAAGCCACTTTGTTTCATTCTTTCTCTTTATAACAATGAAAATGGGAAATTGGCTTCAAATGATTCTACTTACCCGTGCAAGGATCTGTCCACTGGAAAAGTTTGGGGATACAAATGATTCTGTTTGCTGAGGCTGATCAGAAATCTCATTTTTCACTTGAGTTGATTGGAGAAATAAAAACTCACTAAAAATCTTTTCCACAGGTATATCACGCCCCAGAGCTGACAGTGCTCCGCCCACTCCAGTCAACAGAATGAGCATGTCCCCGCCTCCCTCCATCACCAACACCACACCCCCTCACAGCCGCAAGCAGCGACATACGGTGGTCACCAAAACCACAAGCAAGAGTTCAACTGTGAGTGAAGCATTAACATTTAATCTAAAGCAGGAGTTACTGCAGGCTCGGCAAACAGGAATCACAGCAAAGTAGTAGAAGAAAAGAAACTCCCAGCATGTATCAGAGCTACTGCTATTCATTTTGTTTTGTGAAGTGATCTTGAGAAGAAGAGTTTATAATTTTATTAATTTAAAAAACCATTCACTTATAATCCTCAAAAAATAGTGTTCGATTTCATTGTTGGCAACACTTTCACACTGTTGCTGTTGTCACTACCACTCATAGTTTAGGTTACTTTGTGGGATCAGGAACTCAGCATCGCGCTCACCAGCTCTGCTGCCATTGCAGGGGTTGCAGAGCAGGGCCCAGTACCAAACATTCATGGTTTTTTACCAACAGCATCACCCCTGGAGATGTCACCAACCAATTTAGCTTGCTAATGAATATGGAAGTTTTTGCCCTAATGTCAACAAGCAGAAGTAGATTGTGCCGAACCTCCTTCCTGCAGATTGAATTTATATGGCACATATTAACTTAATTGTCCCTGCTCGGTGATGAGTAAAAAAGCGGGTTAGTAAAGACAGAATTAAACCCCACGTGGAATCAGTGTGTCTCTGATGCTCTTTGGCAAACACAGCATTCCTGCAGGGGCTGCCAGTTGAGCTGCTGTAAACATTAGCTTACCTGTTTGCACAGGTGTTTGTTAGGTTAGATTTCTCCCGGTGCTTATTGCTATTAAACCCTTGTACTAAGTATACAGCAAATTGAGGTCAAAAGTTGGTGTCTCACAAGTTCTTTAGTGGATTCAAGATGTGTAATAAGGGGGCTGCCAGCTGATCTGCCACTGATAAATTGATATTGTTTTTCAATTTTTTTGACTTCTTTTTTTGAGTTGGAGTTAACTGTGCTCCCTCAGCTCTGTCACCGCTCTTCATACCGAGAGTTGGTGCTTATCAAAGGTGTATGCAAAAAAATCTGCTGACTCATGCTGTTGTTTCTGTTTCAGCTGTGTTTTAGGCTATTCAAAAAATACTGCAGTTTGTGTAGAAGTTGTTCAATTATTCAGCGACAAAATCAATTGGTTCAAGTAATGTTGTTAAAAAAACCTCAAACGTTATGATTTTTTTGGCTCTCTGTGTTTCTACTGTCGGGTTTGAGGATAACTGTGTGTTTTCAACATCCCAGTCAGATGTCACCCTCTCTTCCCCTCCACCCTGCAGGGCAGCGGGAGTCAACCAACCAAAGCATCCCAGCAGCAACAGCAGCAAACTTCGTCCTCCCCGACCTTACTCTCTAGCCCCAATCAGAGCAGCTGGGAGTCCAGACCCCTCCCGGCCCCAGCACGGCCAAAGGTCAACAGCATCCTCAACCTGTTTGGCCAGTGGCTTTTTGATGCTGCTCTGGTCCACTGTAAGCTCCACAGCGGCCTCAGCAGAGACCCCAGCATGACGGGTAAGCAGGGGGATGACAGCTTGTAGTGTTTCCATTAATGCATGGGCAGGTGGGTGTTTTGTTTTTGTTCAATGGACAGTGTTTTTTTTGTGGAGTTATCTGTGTTTTTTGTGCCAATTTTTATTTTATTTTTTTTAAACTGTGCGTCTTTCGGATATCCTTTTTCTTTTTCACCATTCTCTCTGAATCTTCTTTGTCCTGTTCGTTTTTGTGTGGAGGGCTTGGTTAGAAGTGGCCTGGTATGAGATTTCCATCTGATTCTGATTCATTTACATCTACCAACTATTGAAGCCTGGCTAAAACTCCATATACACTTTGATCATTTGCCAAATAAAGACATTGTATGGTGATTAGTCCAATCATTGCCGGAGGAGTCATCGGAAGCACGTCGAGTTGTTGTTTTCCAAGAAATTTGGCTCATCATTGGCTTTACGTTTATTTTCCCCTTTTTGGTGAAGTGTCCTGCACGTGTCTACCATGTCTAATTAATGTGAAGAAGTTGCTAAGTTCATGTATTGAGGAGAACAAAAATAAAACACAATTCATGCCTATAATGAATTGATCCCCTAAATATTGGATCTGCTTTGATTTTGTGTCTCTCCACTATTTCTGTTATCTTGCAGCCTCTTTTATCCAAATTCTCCTTTCTTATAAATCTTGTAAGTAGGATCAGCAGCTTTTCTTTCCTCACTTGATTTGCGTTCCTTAAAAAATCTTCCTGCTTTTTTTTATTTTTAGTTGAGTTCATCATGATCATTTTCATTATCGCCATTGTTTTTCTGTTCCACTGCTTGTAATCTATATAAAAGTTTCACCAGCGTTTTCTCAGCGTTTCTCCAAAAGTGATGGAATGGGTTTCACCAACTGACCACTTGTCCCGACCATAACGTTGCCAGTTTGTGACAACGCCACCCCATTTTAAGTTCTCATCTCTCTTCCATCCGGTCTCACTAACCCTTTTGATTTGGTTTCAGACCCCCTGAGTTCAGCATTAATGTTTTGTTTCTTGTAATTTCCTTTTTTACTGTCAGTTCACTTGAGTTTTGATTTATTGGTTTGGTGCCTCAATGCATGAAGTGAATGTTCTGTACCTTGAGTGACAGTCATATAATTGCAACAGCAAGGGAGCTGACACAGAGGATTTGCAGTGGAAAACATTTTAGTCCCAGCACACCACACTTGGTCAACTTCTATGGCAAACTCTTTGTGTCAGAGCTCCCTTTTGAATGCTTTGAAACGATGTGAGTGTGTGTTTGAAATCATGAAGTATTCGTTCCCTCTTGTTGTGATAGCAATTTAAAGTTTGCTTTCTGGTGCTTTTGTTTTTGAAACGTTGACTTTTTATCGTAGTGTGTGCGCGTGTATGTATGGTAGCTCAATGTTAATGTTTGCCTGTGTTGCATACATGCATGTATATGAATGAAAACATCACAATTCAGAGTGCTTTCATTCTCTCCTCTTTTCCCCCCCTCTTTACAGCGATAGCCACTCAAGTCGGTCTGGAACTGAGAAGGAAAGGTTCCCAGATGTCCACTGACTCCATGGTGTCCAACCCCATGTTTGACGCCAACGAGTTCCCAGAGAGCTATGAGGCAGGACGAGCCGAGGCCTGTGGGACTCTCTGTCGCATCTTTTGTAGCAAGAAAACTGGAGAAGAAATTCTTCCTGTTTACCTGTCAAGGTAGCCAAGTCAATCCTTAGTGTAGCCAACTGTAATCATGCAGAGAGTGATTTTGAATTTGCAAAACTTCAATTCTGTCTTTCTTTGTTTAAACAGATTTTACATGGTCCTGATTCAAGGTCTCCAGATCTCTGATTTCATCTGCAGACCGGTTTTGGCTTCTATTATCCTCAACTCTTCCTCTCTCTTCTGTACGGACCTGAAAGGCATCAATGTTGTTGTGCCTTACTTCATCGCTGCCCTGGAGACTATTGTACCAGACAGGTCCGACTGGTTGTAAATTGTACAATTTTTTAATCTTTGACATGTATCAAAGTTTCTTTGTTTCATAAATACCTTTTTACGAACCAAAAGAACTCAGTGAGATTTCTTAGGTTTTGAGAACATTATCTTTAGATTAGCAAGTCTTTTTTTTTTAACTCTTTACAGGGAGTTGTCCAAATTCAAGATGTATGTAAATCCAACCGACCTGAGAAGGGCCTCCATCAACATCCTGCTGGCTATGCTGCCTCTGCCGCATCACTTTGGCAACATCAAATCAGAGGTAAAATCTTCAGTATCTGTGCAGTCTGTTAGTTTAAATCGGTCACTGTGGTTAAAACCCTAAAAGACTAGTGAGAAGAAAACAGTGATTTAAACTGTTCACTCTCCTGTGTCATAACCGAAGACGGATTGAAAAAAAGGATTAAAAAACAAAAAGTCATTTTTACAAGAACCTTTGATTTAAACAATAATTAAAGTGTTAGATTTTTTTGCCGGTGAGAGGCTGAAGCAAACCACTATCCTATGTCTAGATAAAAGGGCCTGAATGTATTTGTGTTTTCTTGTAGGGGTGGCTATTTGCATCAAAATTACTTTTTCATAAAGACTTGGAACTTTCTGACTATCAATCAAATAGTCACCCCCCTATCTGTAGTCAGCTGGGTCCCTCCCTGTCTTTACTTGCGTATGGTATGGTATGCTAATTGGACAAACTTTGCTCTCAACCCTTTTTTTCCTTTCAGAACTTTTTGGCGGCACCTAAACTGTGTATTTTTCTCTGGTTTTAAATCTCATTAGACCACACCTGTTTTATTGGTACCTGTTATTAATGCTTGTGTATTTATTTGCTCGATAAATTGGTTATTGTACTTACTGGACTTTCGCTCAATAATTCTCTGGTTACCAAATGGAAGAAGAGATTTGGGGCATGGAAATTAATAATAATAATAATAATAATAATAATTTAACAACTTTATTTGTATAGCACCTTTCATGGCATGAGATGCAGTTCAAAGTGCTTTACAGATCAAGAACAAAGCACAAGTGCTTTACAGAGAAGGTAAATGATTAGCAATAAAACAATAAAATTAACAATAAAAACAATAAAATTAGCAATAAAAAATAAAAATAAAATAAGAATAAAAATAAGCAGAAAATAAATGCAGAAACATAAAGCAACATTATAATAATAGCAAACAGTGCAGACATGATCAAATAAAAGCAAGAGTGAAGAAATAGGTCTTAAGCTGGGTTTTAAAGTTATCAACAGAGGTTGCCTGTCTTATGTAAACTGGGAGTTTGTTCCATGCTGTCGGCCCATAGAAGCAGAATGCTGCTTCTCCATGTTTTTTATGCGCCATTTTAGGTACTTCAAGCAGGTCAGCACTGGATGACCCGAGGGAGCGGTTTGGAACATATCTAGGTAGACAGTCAACTAGGTAGGAGGGTGCCAGACCATTGAGAGCTTTATATACAAGTGAAAGAATTTAAAAATCAATCTTAAAAAAATTGTCGTCAGTTTTCCTCCTTGTTTAAAATGGCACTGGAACATGTCTTCCAAACAACATGCTGATGATCTTTCTCAGAAATGGAGTAAAACACCCACAGTGTTGACATTGTCTTTGTTAGAACAAATCACACTAATGCACACAGCACCCACAGTGCATCAATGTGGAAAAATAGACAAAGGCAGCTGACATGACATGCACATTATTTGCTGGTGTGCAGATGTCCTTGTTAAACCGACACATCTGCACATCCTTGATGTTTTTATTCATCCTTGGGAAATCCTTATTGAAATGTTTCCACTCTATGAAGCATTTTGTAAACAATATATTAGGATCTCAATAGTGCTGGTGTTTTTTTCTGCAGGTGTTATTAGAAGGAAAGTTCAATGAGGAGGACGGATGGCCTCATGACCAGCCTGTGTCTTTCCTGTCACTGAGGCTACGTCTCGTCAACGTCCTCATCGGAGCACTTCAGACTGAGACAGACCCCACCAACACACAGCTCATCCTGGGTATCTACCTCTTCAGTTTGATTTTTTTTATCACATTTATGGAGTATTCTTGTTGACCTCAGAAATGCCAGCGTATGGATAGTCTTTTTTATTGATTCCTCTCTTCTCTCCCTTCAGGTGCAATGCTCAATATAGTTCAAGACTCAGCACTGTTGGAGTCCATAGGTGCACAGACTGAAACAGTAAGGCCTCAGATCTCTGCTATCACATGCAAATGAACAATGCCTGATGCAGTGAGATGGACTGGTCTGGAAAGGTTGCTGTGTTTTTTTTTGTGGTTGTAGGGAAGCATAGATGGGAGCCACATAACTGTACGAAGTCAGAGTCACAGTCGCACCAACAGTGGCATCAGTTTCAACAGCGGGGGCAGCACTGAGGCCACCAGCCCAGACTCTGAGCGCCCAGCCCAGGCCCTGCTGAGAGACTACGGTAAGACACAAAGCTGCTTCACATGAACTAACATTTCTGTGCTTGGTGAGGTAAACAGGCGGACCTAGCATTGCAGAGCATTGTTCGTAACAGTCTCCAGCATTAAAGCTGCTTTTTGGTCAGTGCAAAACTTGCAACTAAGCAATAACACGTTTTCCTTGTAGCTAACGTGGTTAAAGTGATGTTCAGAGTGAAGAAGCGCTGGGTAAAATGTCTCTGTAGGTGACGTTGATGTTGTTTGCTGTGATGCGGTGTGTCTGGCTCTAAGGCTGAAGAAGTGCTCAAGCTTGTTTTGGTCTTTTTCTTTACTGATTGGTTGCAAAAGTGTTGACCAATCAGAAGCACTTCAGAGATGTTGCTGTGTCTCCAGAGGGGCTGAACACTAATTTTTTTCTAATTCAACATTACATTAAGAGAAGTATTTTTGATTTTAAAAAATTACAACAACCACGCTCATTCCCCCACAAGACTTGGTCCACTTTCGCTCAACTCAGGGTTGCCCGTGGCAAACTCTGTCATGCAGGAAATGGGCGTCCGCAGTTTCTATATAATGGCGGAAACATTGCATTGTGTTGTGAAGCTCAGTGCTGGACAGGAAACACGAGACTTGAGAGCAGGCAGAAGTCTAGAAAGAGATGTTGATACATATATTGCAGCCTGTTCTGCATGGTTAGTAGTTTTCTGTTGAGTATGACTTTTAAAAATGATACAAGTGAGAATACTGAGATCTAGCTCAAATAAGTACATATTAGTTTAATTGGGGTAATAGAAAAAAAATAAAGAATAATAATCATGGTAATCAATTAAATAAAAAAACAAGAACAAAAATTTAGAAATTGACCAAATAAATAAAAAACTCACATGCATACATGTACAACACAAATCAGCAAAATGAAACTATATCATAATGTAGCTGCTGACTCATCAATTGTAGAAGCCCAAAAATCCCAGAACAATACCCATATGAGCCATAAATCCACCACAGACAGCCGTGGTGACCTGCTGTTAGTACCTGTGAGAACTGCGTTCAGTCTGACAAATTAAATTTGGATTATTAAATCAAAGAGTTTTCACATGTCAAAACGTGATCGCCCTACTCTTAGGCAGTCTATTTATGATCTATTCTTCAGTCTCTGTGTGCTTCACTGATTCAAAACTCTTCTCTGATGCATGTTTTTTTTATAGCAAACCATATCTACTAACTCTGCATTGAAGTCCTTTTTTCTGTTGTCCTGTGTGTGCTGCCTGAATCCTGCTTTGCTCTATTCTTTGCGGTGTTTGGTATTTTCGGGGTGTTATATGGTTTAGCTCTTCCAGATACGGCGGCAGGCCTGCTGGTGCGCAGTATCCACCTCGTCACTCAGAGACTCAACTCCCAGTGGAGGCAGGACATGAGCATTTCACTGGCTGCACTGGAGCTGCTGGCTGGGCTAGCCAAGGTAAACCAGTTTGCCGAGTTGTACTGTCCAGTCATCGCTGAGAGTCACTGAAATATTCAAAAAACTTTGGACAAATACGATTGAACAAAACACTGCTTGTGAATTTTTAAAGAAAGAAGATTTGTGACGTTTCTGTGCCTTTTCTACGTGTTTTATTCAGGTTAAGGTGGGAGTAGACTCTTCAGATCGCAAACGTGCTGTCAGCTCTATATGTGGGTACATCGTCTACCAATGCAGCCGTCCAGCTCCTCTGCAATCCCGAGACCTCCACTCCATGATCGTAGCTGCCTTCCAGTTTCTGTGTGTGTGGCTCACAGAACACCCTGACATGCTGGATGAAAAGGTAAGCTTTCAGAATCATAAAGATGGATACTTTGTTGATATACTCAGATAGATAAAAGACTAGGACTCTTTCTTTGGGATTCTGCCTCCTCTGATGTTTTTCTTTTTCTTCATCAGGATTGTTTAGTTGAGGTGTTGGAGATTGTGGAGCTGGGAATCTCCGGCAGCAAATCTCGGCAGGAACAAGAAGTTCGACACAAAGGGGAGAAGGAGCACAACCCAGCATCTATGAGGGTAAAGGATGCTGCCGAGGCCACTTTATCCTGGTGAGACTTTTTCTGCTGTAGCATTGTCTACATTTTTCTAAATGCTGTTATGCTTTGAATAGACTGAAACTACAATGTCAACCATATATACACTAAATTAGCTAAATGAACCAATTACTTGGACCTTCTAATGAACAGAGAGATCAAGATCAGTCACTGTCTTACCATCTCCCTGTTGATTTATGAGGCACAGCTTCAAGGGAGCAGCTCATGACAGAGTATTCCTTATATAACATTGTTATCTACGAATTTGAAGATCACTTTAACATTATTTTTCTAACCTAGAAGGGTTGATAGCTGAGATTGCAGTTTAAATCATTTTGGTATTTGCCATAAATTCCCTTTCCCTAACTGTCCTCATTTTTTCTGCCTCCCCACATGGCCCACTGGTGGCTGTCAGATGTTGCACCTACTGACCCAGTTCCTGTATATTTATGTTCTCCCTGGTTTTGCTGTGGTGTTTCCCAGTATCATGCAGGTGTTGGGGGCCTTCCCCTCCCCCAGCGGTCCTGCCTCCACCTGCAGCTTGCTGAATGAAGACACCCTGATCCGCTATGCCAGACTCAGTGCCACAGGAGCTAGCAACTTCCGCTACTTTGTCCTGGACAACTCCGTCATCCTCGCCATGCTGGAGCAGCCTCTTGGCAACGAGCAGAGTCAGTATCACAGAAGCAGTACCTGGGTGTAGGAATACTGTGGAAACTTAACTCTAATGACCTTCAATAGTCTGTACTGCACAATACCATTAGAAATTATAGTGTACCATTTTGAATTGATCAGTAATAGAGGCAAATAATACAACAATATGGCTCTATAGAGATTCTACAAGAATGGATAATGGACAAGACCTTTTCAGGTACCAAGCACGTGTTAATGAAAATCAGAAACCAGTGTTATGTTTGTTGACAAATATTTCTGTCACAGTTTTTGTCATCAAACAAGATACTAACTAAATAACTAATGAATGAGGACAAATCTGTGATGGAAAGTATTGACTCTTTTGTCAGAGATGAGAAAAAGACGTTCAGCAGAGACAAATCTCATCAGAGCAGTCTTAGTGTGAGGAAGGATGGGAGGAGGTCTAATCAGAACTAGTCTTTATGTTTTGGTAAGGAAGTCAGATGTACAGATTTGATCTCCTCCCCCTTGACGACAAAAACTCTTAGGTCACCCAGTGCCCTGTTTCTCTCATGGAAAATCAACAACAAAATTTCAACACCTGGCAGAAAGAGAAGGACAGGCACATGGACAGATTTCACATTTGTAAAGCATACAGACCATCACCGGTGAAAACACAATAAATTTTAAATAAGCATTGATTTCATCACTTATCTGCAGCAATTGTGCAGTGTGTACAAAATCTCACTACGTCCACAGCAGAATTTCACTGTGGAAGAGCCCAGATTTGATTGTCCAACCAAGATATCTATATCATTACAAAATGAAAAACTGATTTACAGAGTATACCCAATACCCATTCTTGATGAACTGAATTAAAGAGGGACAATGTTTTGACTTAGAATATTGACTCAAATCCAATGACTTTGTGATTAAAAGAACATTTTCTTATGAGTTTTTGACCAAAATGAAACTGAAACTGTAAGAAACATAAAAACTAAAATGTATCTTAAACCGATGAAGTACTGTTTTGAGACTAGAACTAAATTTAACAGAGCTGCTTAAATTAACACCGTCAAAAACAAAACATTTTTCTCTACATGTGGTTGTTTTTTTTCTCCACAGACCCTAGTCCTTCAGTGACTGTCTTAATCCGAGGGACGGCTGGAAGACATGCCTGGACCATGCAGCTCTTCCACCAGCCCAGAGGGGCCCGGGCCAATCAGAGGGTGAGATCACACTCTAGAGTACTGCATCACGATACTGAATCACACCATATGACAAATGTTATGCAATGACTTTGTAGATTTTTTAATCTGACCTAAACTTAAAGCTCTGAACCTGACATGCTGATAACACAACTCTGTTCCACATGCGTTTGTTCCTCTCTTTCCACAGCAGGTGTTTGTCCCAGAGGGCCGTCCAACACCAAACAATGACGTGGGGATCAAGTACAACGTCAAGCAGCGTCCCTTCCCTGAAGAGGTGGATAAGATTCCTCTCGTCAAAGCTGATGTCAGCATCCCTGACCTGGACGACATTGTCAGTAAAGAGGTGAGAGCTGAACCCTGTTATTCCTCTGTCATCCTCATTATGACCTAACTGCAAACATATCGAATCACAAATGATTCAACAACAGACATGAGCCAAACCAAAAGTCACTCTCTGTTCATGTTTGTTATTACACAAACTCAGGTGTGTTGTATGGGCTGGCAGGATGATTCCAGAGCTACAAATACACTGATGAGTAATAACCCGCACGTGAGTTTGCTTAGAGATGAAATTTCACTCCGGGTGTCTCATGGGGAAGACAGTCGAATCATCTGTTTGGGCGACGAAGAAATGATTTTGTACAACTTCTCAATCTGTTTCACTGCATTAATAAACTAACTGTATAAAAAAAATACACAAAAACGACCTCTCAGGTGGTGCTGGATTTGAAAAGTGTTGGATTAACAGAATCTTACTTATCGGTTTTCCTTGAATAACTCTTCTCATATCAACATTCGATGGTGACACTCTGGGGCTCTTCACCAACACCCTCTTGAGACTGACTCTGAAAATAGTAATACCCGTCTCCCTTCGTTTTCTTCCAGCTGGAGCTTCAGCACGACAAGCTTCGTATTCTGATGACCAAGCAGATAGAGTACGAGAACGCTTTGGAGCGCCACAGCGATGAAATTTGGAAGTCGAAGCAATTCCCCGACCCACAGATAGACTGTAAACCTCCCCCACCCGCACAGGAGTTCCAGACTGCGCGCCTCTTTCTCTCACACTTTGGTTTCCTGTCGCTGGAGGCACTGAAGGTGGGAAAACATCATTTATTTAATTTTTTTTCCAGAGCTTTGAAACAATCCTTCAAATTTATATTTTCTGCTTGTATTCAGTATTGAAAAAAGCCTTCCAGCTTAAAAAGGGGATATTTTTGCATCATGATGCTACTAAGCTTTGTGAAAGGAGTGAAACAAAGTAATAATGTCATTATTTATAATCATAGTAATGTTAATACAATCTATTCACATTCATTTGATTTTGACAGGAGCCCAACAACAGTCGACTACCTCCTCATCTGATTGGTCTGGAGTCATCATTGCCGGGGTTTTTTGATGACGTCAGCTACCTGGATCTGCTTCCCTGCCGACCTTTCGACACTGTCTTTATTTTCTATGTCAGGGCGGGACAGAAAAGCAGCCCTGAGGTGAGCGAGATCTTTCAACTTCTTGATCAGCCTCTTCACAGCAGGCTTAAAAGTCTTTGAGTTAAAATATTGTGTTCCCTTACTTGAAATGATCAGATCCTGAGGAATGTGGAGTCATCATCCAGCGTCCAGCCTCATTTCTTGGAGTTCCTGATGTCCTTAGGCTGGCCTGTGGACGTGGGACGCCACCCAGGCTGGACGGGACACTTAGATACCAGCTGGTCCCTGAACTCCTGCTCCGACAGTAATGAAATACAACAAACAGGTAAGTTAGGAGGTTAATCACAAGGTTAGTTCTTGTAAGGGTGTCTACTTGATGCCCACCTTGACCACTGTAATGCATCTGCACCTACATCTACTTCTTGATTGAGGGAAACATTGACGGTTTTATTTATAGAAGAAGCAGCTACTCCTGAGGACACTGGAGGTTCAGTGTTCAACGGAGAGAAGAAGGTTTTGTACTACGCTGATGCCCTGACAGAGATCGCCTTTGTGGTCCCATCTTTGACAGAAAACTCAGGTAGGCATGGCTCTTTTGAAGTGAGATGAAGACCTATAAAGAGGGATTTAGAGTCTGACAGAGTTTGCCATTTTCTCCTGTTTTGTTTCCCAGAAGAGTCATCAGTGCACAGCGACTCCACAGTGGAGGCAGACACCAACTCAGACCTCATGCCAGGTTTACTCAAACAACCCAATCTCACACTGGAGCTCTTCCCCAACCACTCTGAAAACCTAGAGTCAGCCAAGAAGGTAAGGTTTCCTTTTCCTGAGATGTTTCAATTGTTGCTTCAGTTTTCATGTTGCACTTGAATAAACTCTCTTTGTATTTTGCTTCGTCTATAGCTGAGTCCTTTGGTGAAAACGAAGAGGTCATCAACTGGAAAATCTTTCCCCCCTCTGGGTCCTGAGACTAAGGTGTTTGTGGTCTGGGTGGAGCGCTTTGACGACATAGGTAAAAACTCATTCTTTCACACTGACTCTTCACTCTTTCATTACAGGCAGTGTCCAAACATTACCACCCTGGTCGTTGACATCTTCAAATTTGGCTTTTTGTTGGTGTTCTCCTATCATTTGCAGAATTCTGGCATTTTAAACTTCCAGAAACAGACTTAAGAGAAAGCTGTGGGCTTTGTTTTCAGTCTTCATATCAGGTTTAAGTGCACGAGGAGAAATGGAGAATGAATCAAACGGTCCCCGTCAGTCATGTTGATTGTCGTGCCTCTGATTTGTCACACCCTTATTAAGTAACTGGATGTTCTCTGAGGAGATAAAGCTGTATGAAGCTGTGTCTGGTATATCACACACAAGGGGCTACAGTCTGGTGGTGCTAGCTCTTCTGGTGTTAGCCACACACACGCAAACCGTTGACCATTATTCACTCACAGACTTTGCGATCTCTATGTTTTATCAAGTTAGTTAAATCGTGCTCAATATTGACTGTTTTTGTGGTGATTTATGTTTAATTAGATTTTTAATTTTCACCTCAGACCATCACAAGTCTAAACATGCCTAAAATAAAACATCTCAGTTGAGTTTTTCCTCATTACTCTGCGTAAATCATAGTCCGAAGAGCATCTCAGACCCTTTTTAATTAGATTTTTGGGTCTTTTCATGCCATTATTGAAGAGGAAAGGATAGTGGATATAGAGCAAAAAACTGGGTTTTGGAGTGGGCAGTGACAGGCAGGAAAGAGGCTGCAGGTTAGATGTAAATTCAAGCTTCAGTGTAGGGGGCGTGTGTTCAAACTGTTCCTGCAGCAGTGCCCCAGAAGACCTAAAACCCACAGTGTTTTGAGCTCAGGGAGTTCTCTTCCTCTTTTATTCTGTCTATTCATCTGCTCTAGCGTTTCTCTTGTTAACATTTAGCGGTTACTTTTTAATCAGTCCTCTCTGGCCCCGAATATCTTCTGTAAAAATGTGTCTATGCATAACACGTCAAAGAGGTGAGAGTGAATGTCGCTGTTGTTGTGATTTTCAGAGAACTTCCCGTTGACTGATCTCTTGGCGGAAACCAGCACGGGGTTGGAAGCAAGCATGAGCAACAGCACTTCCTGCAGGTATTTAGAGGTTCAACACTTCCTGCTGAAAGTATGTAGAGCATGTGATTGAAGAGTTGTTTTTTTGTGAGGTGCAAACATGAAAAAAAAATCTTTATGCTGTTTTAAAATACAGCGTGTTCTCTTACATGCAAAAAAACAAAAAAACAAACAGCATAAAAACAGGAAGTACAAGATGCAGAGTATGCAAAAGCAGGTAGGAATTGTGGCTAAACTGTGTCAACAGGAACAGGCATGAAGTGGTGTCTGGGGAAGCTCATGATTTACAGTATATGTACATGCATGTATGTATGTATACCCTATAGGGTAGTCAGACATTTAAAGACTCTGGTTGCTCATTAGTTGAAAGATTATATGACCTTAAACTGAAACCGCTGAACACAGGCCTCTGAGAGATTTGTTGTTTTGGTTTGCAAATCATCTTTCTCCCTGTTTCTCCTTGTTCCTGCTGCAGGTCAGGGTTACTAGAGAAGGACGTCCCACTAATCTTCATCCACCCTCTGAAGACGGGACTCTTCAGGATCCGTCTGCATGGAGCTGTGGGCAAATTTGGCATGGTGATTCCCCTGGTGGACGGCATGGTGGTCAGCCGCAGAGCACTTGGTAATGATTCACACGGCTCACTTTACCTCTTTTTTTTTTCATCCCTCCATAGCAAGTATTTCTTTCTCTCTTCTTCATCAGAAAAACATGAGTAGCACACCTTAATGCATCCTGTGGTTTGTTTAGTGAATCTGTGAGGAGCACTGACAAGCTGGGCGGCATCATTATATTTACACACTACTGCTTTGTGGTTGGCATTAAGTTAGTAGTGCAAAGAAAATAAAGTCCATTCAGGATATGTGGTTTGTTATACAAGCGAGGCGCGGCTGTTATTTGATATCTTGGAAAACAAAGTAAACCTCATCCTGCTTTAACATGTGTAATGTCACTCTTTACCACTAGATGGCATAGCTCGGACCTGTGATTGTAGATGTGGCTTTCCAAAAGAGTTTGGTACTTAAAAACTGTCTGCACTTGAGCTTGGACGCTCAGGCAGAGCATAATTTTGTGAAATGATGTAATCTCTTTTCATGTGTCTTTATTTCTCTTCACTTTTTGTACTTAGTAAGTAGGCGGCGAGGCTATTAGAAGTTTCCAGATTTAGTTTTTAAAAAGAAATGTTTAAGTAATGAGCCTCCGCTCTGATCTTGGAACCTAAAGCAGGATCAGTCGCTCCCTCTGCTTTTTTTAAACCACCCACTCCTAGTTGGCATGTCTGACAAGAAGAAAAAAAACCCTTAAAAGATAACACAAATTAACACACTGAGTGTGTATAGCTGCACTTTTGGAGACACTAAGGTCACTGCCAGATTCAGAAACCACGTAAACAAGTTCAACAGAACTGGAAAGTCCTTCAACTTTCTTGATGTCACCTGTGTGGTATTCAGCCGTGCATACTCTGAATAATCTCAGACTTCCAAACTTTTAGTTACTTAGTTTGTTTACAAGCTGCAGAGCTGATTGTAAGGAGGAAAGAGGCCAAAAGTTCATAGCTACTGTGATGATGTCTTACTCAACTCATGTTTGTGCTGACACCAGAGAGAGTCGTTTTTCATTCACTGTGTTCAGTTTTCATCATTTGATGGTTCACACCTCCCAGCAGGTTGACCTGTTGTATAGTGGATGTAGTGCTGTAACTGTCCAACATAAACTTTAAGAACAAGGAGCACCAGCTTCCCTGATCACTGCGCCACAACTCACTTTGACTGCAGCAGTAACAGCAGCTCTGACACGAAGAGGAGGGGATGCTCTTCGGTTAGAGAGCAAGATTCAATCTAAGCTGTTGTGTCCTTGTCACGCGACCTTTTTTTATGTCCGCCACCGTGGCTGCATTGTTGTTACAGGAAGTAAATCGCTGTCTTGTGTGCAATAAACCCAAACACATGATAAAACCTGTAATGATGGTGTCCCAAAATCCTTGCTGTGGCAGAAAATGATACCATTGATGGTATCAAAACCAGCACCACCTGTAGTGCAACTTGTGTTCACATCTCCAACTGAATCAAGCACTTTTTATGCAAAGTAACACGTCCAGAGATGTCTTCAAAAACCTGAATAATGTTAGACTATCAGACATCTGAAAACACTGTTTTTATAACACCTGTTAAAGGGTACGGTTGGTCAAAGATTCATCTCATTTACACGCCCCTGTCTTTTTACTTCTGCTTTCAGGGTTTCTTGTTCGCCAAACAGTCATCAACGTGTGCCGACGGAAGCGTCTGGAAAGTGACTTGTACAACCCGCCTCACGTGAGGCGGAAGCAGAAAATAACAGAGATTGTCCAGCGCTACCGCAACAAGCAACTGGAGCCCGAGTTTTACACCTCGCTCTTCCACGAGGTGGGGGAGGGGAAGCCTCACCTCTAACCCGCCTGTCCTGTCCTAACACTGGCTCACAAACGCACACGACGACAAACACATGCGCTTATCTTACACGTGTACACTACTTACATCTGTTCACACACGCACATACACACACACACATACACACACACACACTCATATGCATACAAACACAGAATCTTTATATTTATACTGTACTGTTTTGTTATTTATACAAATATCAACACTGTCTGCCTTTGACTCCGAGAGCAAAGTGTCAAAAACCATGCCAAGGTGGATGAAGCTACATTTCTATGTCGCAGCCGCTCATCACAGGTTTGAATGGCTGCTGCTCAACAGTGACTCTCTCTCTCTCTCTGTCTTTCTTTCTCTCTCTCTCTCTCTCTCTGCATTTAGCTTCACGCTTCGTGGCAAAAGACTTTCTGCTTGTCATTAACTGCAATACAATAGTAACACTGTTGGCCTTTCTGAAATTGTAAAAATGTTTGTCCTTTAAACCCTGTGAAATGAGTCGATTTCATGATGGTTTGGTAATACAGAGCTGTGTCATAAACTTTTATCTGCTTATCTGTTTTTGTTTCGGTCAAACAGATTTTATGTTGGATTTTTGCCAAGGAGATAAACATGTAAGAAAACGTTTTCTAATATACATAGCAGCTGCTGCTTCAAGAGAACAGACATGATTGAAAGCATTAACCCATCATCTCCATGCAGACACCTGCTAAAGTCTTCCTAGTGCAAACCATTACAGCATCGGACTGAGCGCACAAATATTTCTATGTTTTCTTTTATTTTTGACATGGTTTATATGGCGTTAAGTTTTGACATCAGAATCGTCTCCGTGCCAGTCTGAAAGTCATCCCATCTTATGTCGCACTTTGCGTGTATGTCTATAAGTCTGTGTGTACGTGTGGTTTTCTCTGCCTGTCAAAAACCTCCATAAATGGCATTTAAAGATAAATTCTCTCACCTCGAAACAAATATCTCAAAGATGATCAGCTTGTTTGCTCTTGAGGCTTGAGTGTACTTATAATGAGCGTAGTTACAGAGCTCATCAGGTTTGCACTTGCTATTTACAGATGTCATGTTTGCGAACAAAAACACAGCACAGTTCAAGTGTCTTGCTCCTCCTAACAAACCCGCAGTGTTGATTAAAAGGGCCCAAACACTCAGTGTAGCTAATGATGTGTCAAACTTAAATTTTGTCTAATCAAAGTTGTTAGATTTGTATTGAAAACCCCCCAAGAGTCTATCTAACATTAGTTATTTTTTTTCATTTTGGACAACAGGATCATCAATTCTTGCCTTCATAAACATTTAAATTTTCTCCCCCCGTCTCATTTGTTTCACTTTGTTTACTCACTGTACTTTGGTTTTGATTCAAGCCCTCTCACTGTCTGCCTGTAACAATGTGAATTTATTTATCACAGAGATGGAACAGGGCAAACACCTCTCGAGTTTCTTTGTTATATCGCAAAGTCTTAATGCACTGAGCACATGTTTTTGTTTATTTTCTATCCCCCTTGGTTACCTTACATGTCTTTTTGTACTTTTTGTGCATTTTGAAAGAAAAACCCTGCTGAAGGAAGAGTTTTATCTTGTGAAATATGAATGAAGAAGAGGCGTTGTGGAGTTTTTAACCTATCATGTCTAACTGTGTGACTCACTTTTTACGAGAGTGCTTTATGCACATGCCTTTTTGGAAGGAAAAGAGAACATTAAATATGCTTCAACATACAATCAGTCAGACATTGTATCCTATGTTACTCCTCTGATGTTTGATCATATTTAAGGACTTGCCATGTACAGAAGCAGAGGACGATCTGTAAATATATGATAGTGTAAGGCATTTACACGTTGTCTGTTGCATTCCTCATCTGAGATGGCCAGAAAAGATATGTATGTATGCAATTATGTGTGTGAGGATCACAATGGGTATTGAATGTAACATGCATCAATTAAACTATTATTGACATTTTAAATTCTTCCATTCCTGGTAATTTACTGTAACTGTTGCTCACAGAGGGGCTAAGGGACACACTTATTTTTTACAAAACAAAACAGTAGGAAAATAACACATTGTCTCTTGAGGAGCAGCTTATTTTATTTTTTTGAAAGCATAAAACAGCTTCCTTTTCAGTTTTTCTGACAGTATCATGCCCCTAACAGAATGACTGTGGCCTGTGGCGTTTACAGTGTTTAATGAATGAAATGAGTACGGTTATTTCATGGTGAGAAAACAACCATCACATCCGGGGTGAGACCTGTGAAACCAGATGTGCCGCCATGCCCCGAGGCTGCGATGAAACAATAACGTATAGTGTAACTGAATATTTAGACAGTCTGTGGTGATAACAGGTATAACTGTGAACTGAAAGGATGTGCAAAAAGTCATACTCCACTTTAAACATGGGAATATTCAGGTCAGACTATTTTTCGTTATTTCCTTGCGGTTTTTGATAGAGATTGTAACCCGTTAGAACTGTTTTAGTGGTTCGTTCTTTGAATAGAGTTGCACTTGAACCTGTGTCCACCAGAGGGCGCCTTACGTTTACAAGCTGGTCGAGGCAGTGGTAGTGTGACAGGTAAGGGCCAAAGTATGAAGTTAATTCACCTGTGTGGATTCATGTTTTATGGGTTTATTCACCAGCAGAAGTCTTACCATCTCAAAATAGCTGCTAACTTTAACATTAAACCTAAAACTCTTGTTTTTTCCCGACTCTTAATTGCTGTAAGTTGGTAGCATGTAACAAGACCACGGGCATTTCACACAGTATTAGATAGGTAACCTTAATAAATATAGAAATAGTGATGAAAGTTTCAATAAATGACAAACTATTTTATGGCATGCTCTTTTTCACAAAACCTTTATGTCACACCCTGTTTCTCAGCTTTTCATCACTGATTTATTTACTTGAATACTTACCATGTTGTATATATTTGTATTTGATTGCCTACCTATCCCAATGGTTCTCTTTCAACAAAATCTATGCTGTTAAGATTATACTTAACCTTACTTCAGTCTAGCTACATCATGGAATAAACCTGGGCCTATAAAATCAGCATATCATTGAATGACACAATTTTTATCATAACATATGGATATTACATTGGTGACAGTTTATTCTTCAAATATCCCTTAGCAGGAAAAGTTAAGTTTGTCATTGCTAGTGGTTTCCTATACAGTCAAAATCATACTATGACCTTGTTTATTTGTTTGTTGCAGTATTTAATCTCTATCAGCAGCATCTTATAACACATCATATGAGGCACGGTGTTGGAAGCAGAGGTGTGCTTCCAACACTGTCTGATAGGCCCTTCCAGGTGTCACCCACACTTCAAAACTATGATTGGACATAAACATAGTCATAAACCGAACTTATTTTGGGCATTAACTATTTGGGCTGTGTAACAATTATCAACTGCATAAAAAATGGACATCATGAGTGTTCACTGACTGTAAAGCCACATGGTATAGAGCTCCCCCTACTGACTGACTGTCATCACTCTTTGTTCTCAAGCTGATTTAAAGCCTCTGTGAGGAGTGTTTGGTATTTATGAAATTAGTTGAATTTCACATCGAAGCCTTTTTATGACATCCAAAAGCGAACAAAACCATCAGTACCATGACTGACATTTTTTTTCAATAGCATCTTTTTCTACCTGAAACTGGTGTGGGGAGTAGGTGTCTGTCAAGCAGCTGAGAACAACCCTCTTTATACGTTTTTCATATAGAATATCATCAATAAATAATTAATTTGACTGTCAAATGTCAGCAGGATTACAATCGTCAAAAGACACTGTTAAAGCATGTGCGAGGACAAGATAACTAAAGACTACTTTGTCCACAAGTTTTGTTTAAATTATTTTATTTCAAAAAGATGGTTCATTGTGGGCTTTTTTTTATTTGTTTGTTTCACATTTTCTTTTTCACATCTATTTTGCAAGTTAAGTGCATAAATTAACTTATGTACTGTCAAAATTACCCTTTTTATAGTAAATAATACTTTATCATTTTAGGTGGAGACAGGATGGGATGATACATTTCATTTTTATGTGCATTTATTTGTACACATGCCTTTCCTGCCCAAGTTAGCCCCCCAGTTGAGCCACTAGTCAGACAGACAGACAGACAGTCTGGACACGCCCCTGGTCAGAACATTATTTTGGGTCCAGATGCGTTTGTGTAAGTGTTTGTTTGTGTGCTCAGTGCTCAAAACAGAAGTGAGCGTGGTCCCTATGTATATGAGTGTGTGTGTGTCTTCTGCACTGCTGGGTCCCTCCTTCTCCTCCTCCTCCTTCTCCTCCTCCTCTGTGTCTCTCTGCTCTGAACTGATCTACTGTTGCCTTCAATGCCCGCTCTCTCAGCTGGTGTAGCGACCACACAGTGAGGCTCTCCGCTTCTTGTTTGCTACTTTGACTGAACTTTATTCGCAGTGAGTGGTGCTTTGTGCATCACTCTCTGGGTGAGGAATTTGGAAAACTTGCTGCTGCAAAAATGGACTAAACCAACTGATCGGCAAAGTGTGGATACTGAGGAAAAGAATAGAGTATTTGTAAAGAGAGTGACCTTTCTGCGGGGTTGAATTACCATCATGGAAGAGGACGACGGGCATCTGGAGAACGGTATCCCTGCCACTAAGGACTCGGACCGGCAGCAGCGGCTCAGGCTTTGTGTTTTAAATGAAATGCTGAACACAGAGAGGGATTATGTCCGGACTTTGCTTTTCCTTCAGTCGGTAAGTTTGACATTAGCCTCCACGCTGCCTCTGTTCGCGTTACGCTCTCCCCTGCACGAGAAAACCCATACACCAAATCCCCAGTGTACATATACAAATTAAAGGTTTTCGCCGTTTTCGACAAAATCAGATGTAATCTTAGACAACTGGTGACTTTTGAGGTAATGTCAGGTTACAAAAATCAATTCGGCTTTACTTATATACAATACATCATTAAAGTTAGTAAGTAAAACAAGCTTAAATCTTTTCCTCCTGCTGTGACTGAAAGAATTAATATGATGATAAATTACAAAAAATTCAAATTGGATCTGGTGTAACGTGCTGTATGTAAAAGCAGCACTCTTGAATGTTGTTTAACTTTTAAAACCCCCCTGTATAACAGGATGTGGAAGCCAGGCACGCCACACAGCTTCGTTTACAGCTTCTGTTTGTTGCACAATGTGTTATACTTCACACTGCCTGCCACTGACAGCTCTTTAAAAACACAAGTAGCTATCTGTACTATGTATTTCTTAACATCTCAGACCCAATGTTATGAAAAAAATACATAAATGTGAGAGGCATGATCCTAAGCAATTGGACTAAATTCAGGCATGGGCATCATTCACACCTCTCCATTGTGTGCGAAAGCCCAGGTTCACAACAATCAAAGGAGAGCTCAGTTCACACTGGCTTTGCAAATAATTAGATAGTCTATTCATGAGCATTCAACACCACCACACCTCCCCTTTTCCAGACTGAGATAAGAAGCACTTCCAGCAGAGTTCGCCTTCTTATTCATTCATTATTGGCTGGATCAGCTGCCTTTGATGAGGGATTGTCCTGGTAATTTTACATGCTTCTTTCAGCCAGACAGAGATGGCTCCCACCTGCAGCCAGGAGACCTTTCAATTTGTCAGTTGTCCTTGTCCCTTTGCCTTGCCTCTCTCCTCCCTTTATCCTTGCCTTGTCATCTGTTGTACTTGAACTGTGCAGGTGGTGTCCGCTTTAGGCTGAAGTGTGTGATTACCTCCAAATCGACTGCGTTTAATATGACAGCCCTAGTTTGACTTTATTGTAATGCTTAAGCGCTTGCAGCAGGGAAACCCCCTCTTTTGTTGCCCCCTTGAAAACAAGGTCAGAGGTCAGTGTTTGCTGCAAAACATAACCCCTGGAGCTGGTGGGGATTTCAGGTTATCTTTACCCTACTTTGCCACCCTGCTTGCTGAAAAGGTCAAGAAGGTGATTTTTCTTTTGTTTTTTTTTCTTTTTTAATTGCTGGTGAAACACTGTTTGCAATTTGTACATTTGTCTAATTTCAACATTTAGCATGCACTTGTCAAACATAGTCACAGTTTCCTCTTCCTCTTGTGGTGTCATGTGAAGAACTTCCTCAAAGTTAGTTCAGTTTCAGTGTCACAAATCTACTAAATGATCTTGCAGACTTTTTCAAAATGAAGTTTCCAGATGATGAATGCAGCCGACCCTTTCAGATCTGAATACGACTCCTCAGAAAAAAAAAGAGAAAATGTCAATCTTTTTAGTTTCCTTTAAAAGTTACGTAATCTGAAAGAGGCAGCCAAGGTTTATCTTCTGCAACAGAGACAGAGAGAGACATGCTTTGACCCCCCTCTGCTATACCTCAAAAACCTCACTATTGATAAAGAGCCCTTTATCACTGAAGTCTGGGAGCTTTTCTTTCCTGTGAACATCTAAGAGCTGTCAGTGCTGGTGTCCTCCACCACCTCCCCCTGATTCTACATCCATTGGCATGTCTTGATTTTAGCCATACGATGAATCGCCACAGAGGAGGCTGGGGGAAATGTTATCAGCCTGTCTTTGTATAGATCGCCAGTTACGAAGCAAAGGCTGCAGTTCAATGAAGCGTCAAGATTAAGACTTTATTTTCCTTTTTATGATCTATCATTGGGACTTTGAAGGGATGCATGAAAGCTACAGATGGCATCATCATTCAACACGTTCATATGTGCAGTATGACACCAGGCTATTTCTCAGATTTTACATCTTGGAAGAGGGAGCTGTCACCACATTATAAATGGATCCCCATCAGTGGTTATGGCAAATGTAGTCAGCTCAAGTGATTATCTCCCTAGTCCATGAAATGATATGTACTCTACCAAGTGCTGCAGCCGTTGTCTCACTCAACAACATTTCTTTGGCTGCTCTACAGCTTTGACACAACATGAGTGACACTTAAGGTCTACCATGATAATAATATTTACAAACTATGGCAGAGTCTCTGA